TGTGTCCTAATCACCAACAGAAGTAGATGACAACAAGTGATGTGTCCTAGTCACCAACAGAAGTAGATGACAACAAGTGATGTGTCCTAGTCACCAACAAAAGTAGATGACAACAAGTGATGTGTCCTAATCACCAACAAAAGTAGATGACAACAAGTGATGTGTCCTAGTCACCAACAAAAGTAGATGACAACAAGTGATGTGTCCTAGTCACCAACAAAAGTAGATGACAACAAGTGATGTGTCCTAGTCACCAACAAAAGTAGATGACAACAAGTGATGTGTCCTAGTCACCAACAGAAGTAGATGACAACAAGTGATGTGTCCTAATCACCAACAGAAGTAGATGACAACAAGTGATGTGTCCTAATCACCAACAGAAGTAGATGACAACAAGTGATGTGTCCTAATCACCAACAAAAGTAGATGACAACAAGTGATGTGTCCTAGTCACCAACAAAAGTAGATGACAACAAGTGATGTGTCCTAATCACCAACAAAAGTAGATGACAACAAGTGATGTGTCCTAGTCACCAACAGAAGTAGATGAACAACAAGTGATGTGTCTAATTCACCAACAGAAGTAGATGACAACAAGTGATGTGTCCTAATCACCAACAAAAGTAGATGACAACAAGTGATGTGTCCTAATCACCAACAAAAGTAGATGACAACAAGTGATGTGTCCTAATCACCAACAGAAGTAGATGACAACAAGTGATGTGTCCTAATCACCAACAGAAGTAGATGACAACAAGTGATGTGTCCTAATCACCAACAAAGTAGATGACAACAAGTGATGTGTCCTAATCACCAACAGAAGTAGATGACAACAAGTGATGTGTCCTAATCACCAACAAAGTAGATGACAACAAGTGATGTGTCCTAATCACCAACAAAGTAGATGACAACAAGTGATGTGTCCTAATCACCACAGAAGTAGATGACAACAAGTGATGTGTCCTAATCACCAACAGAAGTAGATGACAACAAGTGATGTGTCCTAATCACCAACAGAAGTAGATGACAACAAGTGATGTGTCCTAATCACCAACAGAAGTAGATGACAACAAGTGATGTGTCCTAATCACCAACAGAAGTAGATGACAACAAGTGATGTGTCCTAATCACCAACTTGCACCACACTTGCACTACATACACCAAAACACACTACACACAAGGTATCACGAGCGAGTGCCAGCTGAGCGGTTCCATATGCCCTCTGGTTCCTCGTTTGTGTTACCGGTGTGCGGAGTCTGACTGTCCGTGTCACAAAATCGACCGAAGGAATACACACACACACCCCATGGAGCATTCCCACCTCGTGATGATGGCTCGCCTGGGAAAACGACAACGCAACCGTGAGCAATACAACTGGCCTGGCCCAGTGATGTGGGGTTTAGCTCGCCACAAGATTACGTTTGGTTGTGCGGCGACAAGCTCTATCAAGTTCTGGCTCCCCTCTGGATAGGTACATGCACTCTAGTGGATTTGAATCCAGCAATCATGCTTAACAACACTACTCTTTAATGTATTATCCATGCATAGAAAGATGTTTCAAGTACTGGATTAATTTCAGTTTTGGCCCAAAACAAATATTTATAATATTTCATATAACAATTATGTAGCATATTTGATCCTCAAATTAGAGAAGTATAATTTAAAGAAATGTATATTATACATTCAACATTAGATAAACACAGAAGAATCCTTTCCAAGTACCATAAGTAGCTCGGGTAAGTATGGCTAATAGGAATACTTGATAGACTTAATTTGGTACAGATCAGTGGTAGCATTTACAAATGTAATAATTCAAGGTTTAAAAATGTTTAATCCTTCCTTTCCAGGTTTTTACAAACGTCTTTGAATATTTGCCTAACTTTTCCTTTTCAGATTTTGAACAATGTACTTGACTAAAATGAATGTATTGATTTCACTAAGTGCCTTACTCTTGACTAAAGCGTATTTAAGTCAACGTAAAAGTAATCCTAAAATTGAGGACACTGCACTTTTGCAGATTACAGATTGATCAAATCACCAGTGTGAATTCTATACTCTAACTGTGAATGTTTAGCTGGATCTCTTACGATCCTGAGTTTTAAAATGCTTTTGACTAGTGATTGCCTTGAAGTAAATCTTTAAAGCGGCAAGCTGGTTTTGATTTTATAGTTTGATGAATGAAATTAACTAATGGTAAATGATAAAAGATATTAGTTTAAAAACAAATATTTATGTGTGTTCATTATTATGCTTTTGACAAAAGATGATCAAACACTGATGAGAGATGATTTTTCCTATTATGATTGGCTGTATCAATCATTGTGATTGAATGTTTCAATCTTAATGTGATTGTTATTGATGTAATTGATGTTGTGTAAGTCCACACTCAAATCTGAAGATTCCCATTGATTTAAGTATTGAACTAAATATTATTAGACTAAGGGTTTTAGATTATCAAAATTGATAAAAAGGAAGAAACTGTTGTGGAAATATTTTCCAAGGCCCATAACTTTGACCCAGTGTATCAGTTCAAACTGTCCTGACTGAGCACAGGCACCTGTAACCTTGGCTGCTGTGCTCTCAGTGTTCTGTCTCCCTGTTCCTGCCTGATGGCGTCAGCTGATAGAGGTGTTATCATTCTATCTTGTTATGCAGCATGTTGATGATGCTCTCTGAACTAGCTAAATACATGGGTCTGGGGTAGAGTTCTTCAGAATTGACGTGGCAACTCTACCGTGAAGTCAGAACCTCTGACTCTTGGACTTGTGATGTGAATCCTCCGGCCGTTAACTCCAAATAAACCATCATGTGTTTGACATCAAAGCTACTGCTCTTCCCGTGTCTCCTTCCTGAGTCGGTGACTCCCACTGCATAGCTACACAGAAGTTTCCTCTACACTAACTACTACAAACGGCGATGAAAATGAAACCGACTCCACGTTTTGTGTAGCACACAGTTATTAAACCTCCTTGTCAACATAAACACACACGCACAAAACATTTAGCAACCCGCGAAATACACACACATGTAGCTACAGCTGGGCCGCTGGCTGTCAGCCAGCCGCCCAGCTGGCTGTGCCCGCATATTCCTGGACCGCAAATTCGCAGGTCTAGCTATGTACTGAGTGTGTGTATTTCGCTGGTTGAGTGATGTACAATGGCATCCCGTGGAGGAATTCTGAAAATGTTTTACCGTTACATCACAAAAACACACAGCAGAACCAGACCCTGGAGCGCCGGCCTCCTTATTTACTTACTCCTCTTCATCCCCTATGGGTAATAAGGCTGAGAAGAGAACTCTCCATCGTATTTAGTCCTTAGCAATATGCTGCCTCTCCCCATGTAGGGATGGGTACCGAGCCCCGGTATTAAACGGGCCCCGGGCCGGAATTAAAGACAGTGGTAACGTTAAGCTCCGACGTTATACTAATAATTATACTAACTAATGATAATGTAGAAAAACTAACATTTTAAATTCGGGACGGTCCACATTAATTTCGGGACGGTTCCGGGAGGATGGGGAAAAAAGTTAGTCGAGAGCCCTGCACACAGTCACTCACACAGTCACACACGCAGTCACACAAGCAGTCACACACGCAGTCACACAAGCAGTCACTCACGCAGTCACACACGCAGTCACACACGCAGTCACACACGCAGTCACACACGCAGTCACACACAGTCACACACGCAGTCACACACGCCGTCACACACGCAGTCACACACGCAGTCACACACGCAGTCACACACGCAGTCACACACGCAGTCACACACGCAGTCACACACGCAGTCACACACGCAGTCACACACGCAGTCACACACGCAGTCACACACGCAGTCACACACGCAGTCACACACGCAGTCACACACGCAGTCACACACGCAGTCACACACGCAGTCACACACGCAGTCACACACGCAGTCACACACGCAGTCACACACGCAGTCACACACGCAGTCACACACGCAGTCACACACGCAGTCACACACGCAGTCACACACGCAGTCACACACGCAGTCACACACGCAGTCACACACGCAGTCACACACGCAGTCACACACGCAGTCACACACGCGTCACACACGCAGTCACACACGCAGTCACACACTGCCAGTCACTACACAGTCATCACACACGCAGTCACACACGCCGTCACACACGCAGTCACACACGCAGTCACACACAGTCACACACAGTCACACACGCAGTCACACACGCCGTCACACAGTCACACACGCAGTCACACACGCAGTCACACACGCAGTCACACACGCAGTCACACACGCAGTCACACACGCAGTCACACACGCAGTCACACACGCAGTCACACAAGCAGTCACACACGCAGTCACACAAGCAGTCACACACGCAGTCACACACGCCATCACACACGCCGTCACTCACATAGTCACACAGTCACACACGCAGTCACACACGCAGTCACACACGCCGTCACACACGCAGTCACACACGCAGTCACACACGCCGTCACACACAGTCACACACGCAGTCACACACGCAGTCACACACGCAGTCACACACGCAGTCACACACGCAGTCACACACGCAGTCACACACGCAGTCACACAGTCACACACGCAGTCACACACGCAGTCACACACGCAGTCACACACGCAGTCACACACGCAGTCACACACGCAGTCACACACGCAGTCACACACGCAGTCACACACGCAGTCACACACGCAGTCATACACGCAGTCACAGTCACACACGCCGTCACACACGCAGTCACACACGCAGTCACACGTTTGTATTTTGCAGTTATCTAATATATCGTATTCTATTTGATTTGTATTTACTTACATATCTCAAAACATTCTCTTGCACTATTTTATCTGTTTTATGTGTTCTATGTCATATATATATATATATATATATATATATATATATGTTCATGTTGCTCCGTTGGAGGAGCCTGTGACTGCAGCTGCTGAGCACATGACGATAGAGCCTTGAAACAAACACACATTGTTTACCTGTGCAGGATTTCTGGTGGAGCGAGGCAGTCTTGGAGTCAGAGGATTGTTCCTAAAGGAGTGAAGGAAGGAGATCAATAATAATAATGCATTATATTTACATAGCGCTTTTCTAGAAACTCAAAGACATGTTACGGAGCAAAACATCACAAAAACATAATTAAAACAACGCACTTAAAATATATAAAACAAAACGTTAATTACAGATTAAAAGCAGTTCTGAAGAGGTGAGTTTTGATTTGGGATTTGAACAACATCAATACGTCAGTAAGGAGATCAATACGTCAGTAAGGAGATCAATACGTCAGTAAGGAGATCAATACGTCAGTAAGGAGATCAATACGTCAGTAAGGAGATCACTACACCAGTAAGGAGATCAATACGTCAGTAAGGAGATCAATACGTCAGTAAGGAGATCAACACGCCAGTAAGGAGATCACTACATCGGACTACATCCTGGCCCTGAACAGGGAGTTTCTTCTAAAACCCCTCTTGGTGTGTTTATTGGAAAAGAGGGATGTTTGTTACCACTCTGAGTGTCTGGATGGTTCTGTCTCTGCTGGCGATGTCAGACTGAAGCTGCCTCTTGGATTTCTCCATGTCGGTCAGCTTCTGCTTCGAAAGCTTCTCCTCTTCTCTCATGGCCGAGATCTTCGGGAAGAAACAAGAGATTACACAACATCACACATACAAGTCATTTTGGGCTCGGGTCCACAAAGCTGCGCCAGCGTCTTTTTAAAATGGTTTCCTTTATAAATCGCCTGCTTGCGATATAATAACAATTAAAAGATACGGGCGTAATAAGGCAGCAGAACCACAAGAATAATAATTCTCCCGTAATAATAACACCAAACAAATATGGTCTATTCTTATGTTACAAGACATCATTAAATGTATTCTAAAGTTGCCCCCTTTCATACTTTGTAAATATATGTATAATGACTATTAAAGAGCCAACATACTGCGAACAGAAGTTCCCATCAGCAGAAACACGTGGGTTTGCTATCCTGGCTCCAAGATGGTGGAATGAGCTCCCCATTGACATCAGGACAGCAGATAGCTTACACACCTTCCAGACTGAAAACTCATCTCTTTCGACTCCACTTCGAGCGATAGAACTACTAACAAAGCACTTATATACTAATAAAGGACTGGCTTATCTAAAGCCAGTTGAGTAGCACTTGAAATGTGTTGGCTCTATGAAACCTGATGTACTTATATGATTCTGTTTTCTTCAAGTTTGTATTTTGTTGGTCGAACGCACTTATTGTAAGTTGCTTTGGATAAAAGCGTCAGCTAAATGCAATGTAACAGCATATTAAGACCAAAACTCATGTACAGCAACTTCCTTACTGACAATCAATCAGCACTAATTAGAGGGTTATTGAGGAAAAACTCTCAACTAATGGCTTATTACTTGTAGAATATGGTCATGTAGAATAAGGCATTAATAAGTGTTTTATAATGACTAATAAAGAGCCAATATACTGCTAATATGCATGTTAATTAACAACTAGTTGATGGTTAATTTGTGTATCTTAATATAAAGTGTTAGCAAAATGTTGAATTAGGGAGGAAAGGATATAAAAGAAATGTTGTGTACAAAACAAAAAGGAAAATATGAAGACTTCAACATCTCTTCAAAATGAAAGTGTGTAAACTCAGATCCCCCATCTCCACTTTAACTCGTATATGACAGAGAGGTGCAGTGATGACGTATTTCTGTAGTTCCACCCTGAAGGACGCTGCTGGTTCCCTCGGCAAAAAAAGCAACAGGATTTTGGAAAATAGCTGGAAAAAAGGTCTGTGGGAATCGAACCTGTTTGATAAATGCACGTTTTGTTCAGCCGGATAATCTCCACATGTCTACCCTACTTTTATCATGTTCGAATCATAAATCTAACGGCCAGAAGCTAAATGCTAACATTATGCCCTAAAGCACATGTGTCAAACTCAAGGCCCGGGGGCCAAATCCGGCCCTTGGTGGATTTAATTTCGGCCCTCATAATTTCTAATTCCTGTTAGATCTGGCCCGTCGGTATATTGCACGCACCCCTTCACTCCATCCTGAGGGTCTCCTCCGCTCAGAGCCTGAGCCCAAACATTGATGACCTTGCACCCAAGATGAGATGCCAAGATAGGGTCGATAGAGCCATAAGAAATGAATGCAACTGATTATTTAATGTTGTTTTTATGGGCAATCATTTAAGCTTTGTTAGTTCCAGGTTTAATATGTGCAATAAGTTCATTTCAATAAGTTCTGCAACAAACATTGAACCAGTCCGGCCCTCCACTAGTACCCATTTTTACATTTTGGCCCACTGTGTATTTGAGTTTGACCCCCCTGCTCTAAAGGAACTACAGCTGAGTCCAGCAGCACGACATCAACGTCACGCCAACTTCAGATCCATATTCAAACATACAGATTCTAAATGGAACGAGTTGAAGCGTTTGTTTGCACACTTTGCAGGAGGCAGGGACTTGCTTTCAAGCAGAACAGGGCAAACTAACTTGGAGGAGTGTTTACGTGTTCGGCGTAATGACGTACAACGGCCTCCACGACTTCTGTAGTCCTATTCAGCCACTTGGTAACACAGGGTATATGCAGGAATCCTGAAGGCCAAAGGAAGACCTTTTAAGACCCTTTCCATACATTTTAAGACCTCATCTCCACTTGGGAGTTTTAACCGGTTACCTTGGCGACACACTTTACCTCACATTGACTATATACAGTATTGATTGTCCTTCCTCCTCATCTTCCAACCATTTGGACGCAGACTTGCATTTCCCCATAACGATGTTGCTTAGCAACCGGCGTAAACGGAGCTTCTCGCTATCAAGCAGTGAGCGTGCGATGTCCTGTTCAGATGACGTCAAACCCAACGGGATGCCATCAATAAACTACACAGAATCACACTACACACCTACGCAATGATTACATTCAGGCAGACTGTAGAATACAACCTCTTTGGACCATTTATATACTTATTGAAAACAAGCTACACAATGTAACACCTTGGAAAATGCCGTTTAATACTTTTTAATAGCCTTCATTTTCGCTAAATTGATTGATCAACTTTTAATACTTTTTAAGACCCCGCGCCGGACCCCCTGCATCAACCATCGTTTTCAGACATGTCAACTCTTCAGAAATCACCAGTGGGGTCACTGCTGATATATTTAATGTCGTAGAACAAAACGTGATCAGTCTCTTCAATTTGTGTCAACCACAGACCTTAGTTCAGATATTTTCCCAAAACTAGTTCAAAACAACATTGACTCGGAGACGAGGGAATGTGGTGAAATGGGTTTCAGGACTAATTCCTGCACCTCTCTCTGGAGCAAAGGATAGAGAATAGACGTCGTGTACCTCCTTCTGGACCTGCTGGATCTGCTTTTTGTAGTCGGCCAGTTTCTCTGTGAGGTCTGACGAGTCGTCCTCTTTCCTCTGAAGGTCGACGCTCAGACTCTTCACTTTGTCCGAGTCCTGCTTGGTGCTTTCTTTTAGTCTGGGAGGAAGACAGGCGAGATAACGATGAGCTGCAACAGATTCCTCAAAAACAGACGGGAGAGAGCACTGTGACCTCCTGAACAACAACAGCTTCTTCACACACTCTTTAAGACAGCGGTTAAATAAATAAGACGCTCCCTCGACACAGAGGGACTTCAACGGCAGCGTAATAGGAAGAAAATGTATTTTACAATGACAGAACGATATAGTTTGATGCAGGAGGCAATATAGAGAGTTTCTTACCCTTTATCTCCAGAGAGTAGGATAATAAACTTCAAGGTAACAGCACAACACACTGAAGAATGCTCTCTGGTAGTTAATTTGATTAAGTCCAATATAATGATATTACATTAGGCGCGTTCACACCGCAGTACTTTTCCCACTTTAGAAGAACTCTTTAGTTCTGATGAACTAAAGAGCAGATCGCGTTCACACCGCAGTACTTTTCCCACTTTAGAAGAACTCTTTAGTTCTGATGAACTAAAGAGCAGATCGCGTTCACACCGGAATAAGTCCCTGGGGGAGGATTAGGCAAATTAAGCCGCTGACGTCACTTCTTCTTCTTCTGCTGCTTTGGCAGGCCGCAAACAACTTCACGGCGTATACTGCCACCCGAAGTCCCCGGCCGGAAGTCCCCGGAGTTGCTGGGACTCCCAGCAGCTTCTACTGAAGCCTTCCGAGTAAACGGCCAGAACGCCGACACCTCCTCATCTCCACCGCTCCCATGTTTTATTTTGTGTTGCCATAAGTTAGTCTCTCTGCGTTTGTGCGCTGGGCTAATGCTAATAATGCTAATGCAAGGATAATAAAATGGCGGTTTCACAAAACTTTTTGGGAGTTTTATGGGGCTTGGTTTGCAATCCTCCCAGCCAATCAGACATAGGAACCTTTTTCTCCCACGAAAGTACCTGCTCTCTAGCAGGGACGGAAAAGGGGGTAAAAAGGTTCTCATGAACTCATTTGAGTTCCGGCTCTTTTTGGTGTGAACGCGACATTTCGGAACTACATCGGAACTAAAGTGGGAAAAGTACTGCGGTGTGAAAACGCCTAATCCTATGAGCCCTATTTAAAAGAGTTACCAGCTATAGTCAATTATAATAACTCACAAGAAGTTTAGAGGCCATGTCACAAAGTTAGATTCACACAAGTTTCTACATCGGCAAAATGTATCATTCATGTTCTATTTCGTATATGGCTTCGCCCTCTAAGGCTATCGCTATTGGGTAATCCCCCTGTGCACCCGCGCAGCACTGAAACACCCTCGGGCTCCCTTCCGGTATAAATAGGAAGGAGGAGAGAAGCAGAGAGACACTAATGCCCCTTTCACACCAACGCGTTTTCAGCTCCAGCTCGGAGCTGGAGCTGAAAAGTACCGGTTTTTCCTGTTCACACCGCAGAGGCGCCGCCTCTTAGCTCCGGAATCCGGTTCACTTCCAGCTCCAAAAAATTGTCGGCCTAGAGGCAAGAGCTTCGGAGCTAAGAGGCGTCGCTTACGTCTCTCTTACGTCGAGGCGGGGGCAGATTCGTCGTAGAAGTAGATGCTGAAGACCACAAAGAAGTCTTGCATTTCGCATGTGATGTTTGTAAAGTTCCAAGTAAAGTCGTCCCTTGTAAAGTCGTCCGATGCCTTCCATTTCGTTTCGTAAGAGGATAACCAAAGCGAACAGCGCTTCAATACAATTGGCCATTGTTGTTGTTGTCGATGTGAGGGATATCCGCGAGGTTTGGATTTCATGAAGCAGGCACGTAAACGGTGACGTCATGACGCAGTAGCGGCAGCTCTGGGCGGTGTGAACAGAGCGGGAGCAGAAAAGGGAAACCGGAGCTGAACCAGAAAAGCTCCCGCTCGGAGCTAGAAAGGGAAAAGCGCTGGTGTGAAAGCCGCATTAGAGGGCTTCGCCAATGCTCATAGAAGCTGGGGTTACAGTAGGTAACCTCAGTTCTATTTCGTATATGGCTTCGCCCTCTAAGGCTATCGCTATTGGGTTAAGGGCGAAGCAAGATGTAGTCTGCGCCCCACTGGATCCGCCCGGCACTAGAAGCACAGACACACCTGCTCAGATAATAACCCATGCCTATTGCGCCATGCGAAAGGCGCATCACCGTCCCTGGAATATAGCATAACATGAATATTCTCCATGAGGGGACGAAGGCTGGGGACGAAGGCTGGGAACAATACATACCTGCCGCTGTGAGAAGTAGAGACGAAGGTCACACTTTTCCCAGTGACAAAAAGAGGGGGAACAGCAGCTCTCTGCGTGCAGACAGGTAGGAGAGCGCCCAGCTGGATCCCTGACGTCACTCACTCCGACAGGACACCCAGTACAGGGTGTGTCAGAGAGGAATGAGAGACATCCCTCAAATAAAAATGAATAAATGAACAGGGGGAAGACCAAGATGCAGCAGTGCAAATATCTTCCACTGACATTCCTCCGTACAAAGCCGTGGAGGAGGAAATTCCTCTGGTGGAGTGCGCATTGATGTTCTCCGGGGGCTCCACCCCAGAGGAGACATATGCCTGTGACACAGCCTCACACAGCCAGTGTGACAGCCGTTGTGCAGACAGAAGTTGCCCGATCGAGCGCTCTCTATAGTGCACAAACAGGCGCTGGGAACGGCGCAAAGCAGCCGTGCGCGCCACATAGCAAGACAACGCGCGCACAGGACAGAGGAGATGAGACGCGGCTTCTTCCTCCGACCTGTGAGGAGGGGGAAAGAAGCCAGCCAGGGTGATCACTCTCGACCTAAAAGAGTTGTGATGACCTTTGGCATACAAGCCGGGTTAGGACGTAAAACAGCTGAACTGCCATCTCCTTGGATCCGGAGGCATGACGGAGCCACAGGTTCTTTATATGCAAACTTTTGACCGCAACTGTATATTTTGCCTAATAGGTGACCTTTAAAAGTTCTAACATAACATTTTGCGGTACTTCCAGCTTCACAATGTTGGCAACTCAACTAAAATGACGTTTACATTTTGGATTGTTTATTTTCTAGTCTTTTAAATGATCCAATGCCTTGTCTTTTCATGCAAACATTTCCCAAATTGGGATCAATAAAGTACTTGTTATCTTCATCTTATAATAAGGGGTTACCTGTTGATTTCCTCGCCTCTCTTCTCCAGCTCCTCGTCTTTCTGAGCGATGGCTTCATAAGCGACGGCCATCATTTCCCTGCGTCTCTCCGCCTCTTTCCGTCTGTTCTCCTGCAGCGTTTGGATGTCTTCCTCCTCCCGACGCTCCTTCAGGGAGGCCATCTTTGCCTCTCTCTCTGCGGACCCTTTGGTCACCGCTGCTAGCTTCTCCTGCAGCTGTTTCTCCAGCAGCTGAGATGCAGTCCTGCTTTCCTCCATGTCTGAAACCTTTGCCTTCAGGGACGTGATGTCAGTTTGCAGATCAGAGTTCAGCCTCTTCAGATCTTCTTCAGCAGCGGAGGAGACGGAGAGGTTTGATTCTGTTAGCTTAGCTTCTTCTAGCTGCACTTTAAGCGACTCCGTGCTTTGCTCCTGCTCACTGAGCTTTAACTTGAGGTCGTTTACGGTCTCGCAGAAGGTCGTTTCCTGCACACTCAGTTTGTGTTTGAACTCATCCAGATGCTTTTGGGATTCCACTTCCTGTTCTCGCAGCTTCTCATTGAACTCCTTTGATGCCAGGATGTGTTCTCTCAGCTGTTTCACGTCTTCAGCATCGTGTGCTTCCTCCGGTGGCTGCTGCAACATCTCCTCCAGCTCCTGAAGCTGCTTCTTAAGATCTTCAATCTGTTGTTTTAAAGCTGCTTCTTGTTGATTTTGCTGCTGTTGTTGTTGTTGTTCTTTTGCTTGTCTCTCATTGTTCTCCTTTTCCTCGGCCAGGTTCTTCCTGAGCTCGGACACTTCTTCTCTCAGTTGATCATCAGACGTGGCTGAAGTCTGCACTTCCTGTTTCAGGCTTTGCACTTCCTGTTTCAGGCTTTGCACTTCCTGTGTCAGGCTTTGCACTTCCTGTGTCAGGCTTTGCACTTCCTGTGTCAGGGCGAGAACCTGGGAGGTTTTCTGCTGCAAATCCTTGCGGTTTTGCTCCAGTTGTTCAGTTGTTCTCACCGTCACACTGGTCACCTGTGGTCGTTTACAAAGACATCCCTCTCTTTAGTCATGTATCAAAGAAACAAAATCACGATTATTTTGGTCAATAATTGATATCACAATTATTAAAAACGATTATCCATTTACTTTGAAAACATCTATTTATTGAAAAAAGAATGTGAACAGTTTCTTTTTAAAGTTGATTACCCTGAACTTTAACTCGACTGAAAAACCAATTGAAAAAATAATAAATCGTTTTATTTCGATTACGTTGTTTTGGTAATCGTTGCAAGCCAAAAATCGTAATCGAGATTAATTAATTGCACAGCCCTAACACAAACACCTTTCTACTATTACGATCAAATACTCAAATGTCAGCGGTTATCCAGCTCCATATTAGACGATGACTCCCACCCTCTGCACTCAGAATTCAAGCTTAGTTAGTTGTCCCAAAGAGTAGAACGAAGCGGTTTGAAAACAGTTTTATCCCAGCAGCTATAGATGAGAGTAACACCTACGTCACTTCCGGGCGAAAATTACAGCCCCGCCCACTTTTGGGGGGAAACAACGCTGTCATTTGAACGGCGATCAATACAAAATTCTGAAGTTTTTGCCAATCCGATCAGAAATGTTTGAAAACCGTGGATTTTCTGATCTTCAAAGAGCCCGGTTACGATGGCCAGCCAGGCAAACGATTACATTCGATCATTGGATATCGACGATCGGGCTCGATATATGGGTTAAATTAAAATCAGTAGGCGAGGCTGTAATTTCGCCAGCTGTTACTCTCATGAGCGAGGCAGAAAATAATAGTTTATTGCTCCTCAAACATTAAAACAAATCCAGAGTTACGTGTTTCTGAACTTCCTCTAAGAAGAAAGGACAGTAACAGAAGAGCTCTGTGGCTTCAGGCTTGATCGCCGTTCAAATGACAGCGTTGGTTTCCCCAAAAGTGGGCGGGGTCGTAAAGTGACGTAGATCAGTGCTTCTCAAAGTGTGGTCCGTGAGCGTCCCCTAGTGGTCCGTGAGTATATTGGTAACATTTCACATTTTAAATAAATAAGTTAATTTAAGTTTTCCGCACTCTCGTGGGAATATCTGCGCAATGGAGCGAGCTTAAGTTTCACTTTCGTTTGCATGATATAGCCCAGCGCAACACCTTCGTCACCTGTTTGTACCATTTGCAGGCGATTTGTAATCTGTTCTAGAAAAACGATGTGTTTTTGGATATTTGTGGAGTTAGGTGGTCCTTGGTATGAAAAAGTTTGAGAAACACTGACGTAGATGTTACTCTCATCTGTGGACATCGATCGCCAACTGCTATATTTGACCATATATCGAGCCCGACCGTCGATTTCCAATGATTGAATGTAATTGTTTGCCTGTCTGGCCATCGTAACCGGGCTCTTTGAAGATCGCCAAATCCCCGGTTTTCTTAAATTTCTGATCGGATTGGCAAAACCTTCAGGATTTGAATTGACCGCCGATCAAATGACAGCGTTGTTTTCCCCCAAAATTGGGCGGAGACATAATGTTTGCCCGGAAGCGCCGCATGTGTTACTCTCAGCTATTGCACAAATGAACACATAGGAGCGTCACACAGATGCCTTTTCATTTATTTAATTATGATTTTTGAATGTCCATGTTTGTACTAGTGTTTTCCTTCTTAAAATGTTTCTGAAATATTTTGAGATTTGGTTGATTGTGTACTTTTTCCTACTCCTTTCATTAGAGATGTGTCTGTTGTTTGTTCTTAGTGTCAGGATGGATCCCTTGTCTTGACAAATAAATAACCTGAACCTCTCAATAAATGTAATGGAAGAAAAACCAGATTCAACAAACATAAATATAAGTATTTGAACATTTGAAAAAAGTCTATATCATCACATGCATATTCTTTCTATGTACAGAACATTGTTGTGCGAAAACACTTCCGTAAATAAATAAATAAAAAACACGTTGTGCAATATGTGGTGTGCAATGAGACACTTTTCTTGCTTGATAATTTATCTAAAATCTGTAAATCCTCCTAACCATGGAGCTATCTATCGTTAATGATAATGTTTTAATTTAATAGATTCAACTTATTTAATTTCTTATGATTATATCTATATTATCTTATTTGATCTTTTATTGCACATTTTTCTTCTGACGTTTAGATTATAAGTGACCTGCTCTATCGAAATCAGTCGCATTGACCCGAAGACACATTTTGAGTTACACTGTTGGAAAGAGGAGATTCCTAGCTTTCTAATGATATCAGGATTGTTGTTGTACTCTAAATATTAAGCAACATATGTCACATTATATAATGACTGTCACCGAGTCATCATTTTGAGAAAAAAGGCCTTCAAAGTTTCCTCCTCTCTGGAATCCATCGATCTGATTGGTTATTAGCAAATGATCAAAATACTACGGAGGGAAGATATTTTCGTTTGGATTGCTGGTCTGGGGGAAGCTCGCGAGTGTGTGTGTATACGTGTGTGTGTGTGTGTGTTTGTGTAATTTTGCGTTTATGTGTATTGTGTTTGTTTCCCGGGGAAAACACTCAGGAGAAACACCGGCTGTTGTTACGCCTGCTGTGACGTTAAGTTACTCCGTTCTCCGCTTGTAATTATGCCGAAGCTTCAAAGTTGTATTTATCATCTGAATTTGCCGAAACAAGTTTAATATTCTGAAAGTCAAGACTTTGTTTATTTGAAATCATATGAAAACAAACTGTAACGGACCCTGCCGTGTTATTTATGATTACTATACTCGTACATTCATAATGTCAGCGGAGGGAGGGGGGCGGCGCTGAGGAAGAGCAGATTGCGAGTGAGAGCTGTCATCTACCCTTTACAAGCTTCAAACATGTATTTTTCGTGTGATTTTGGAAATAAAAGTTTCATATTCTGAAAGCCAAGACTTTGTTTGTTTAAAATCAAACAAAACACCCGAACCCCGAAAAAATAGTTTTTTACGTAAATCCATGTTTATTCTGAAATGAGCCGTTGAGACTTCCGACTGATTTCGATAGAGCGGGTCACAAATTGTGTCTATCTTTCTATCCATCTATCTATTTTGTTTCATTTCAAAATCAAAAGACATTTACACAAGAGTCATGAAACACCAGGTTATTTTAAAATATCTTTACAAAATTCAAGTTAGCTCCTGATGTTAAAAGCATAACTGTTAAAGTGAAGCATTTTTGAAACCGTTAAGACTTTGCAGAGACCATGCAGCTATCCTCCTTTAGTTGGATGGTTGTGTAGGAGCCAAAATGTTTATTATGTTCATATATTTTCATTTCCACCAATCATCACATTGGTGGGGTTTATTGTATTTAGTGCATCTGGTTTTGTGGTAAGACGGGGAGGGTGAGCTAGGTTCAGACTTTTCCTTTTAACCGTGTTTTCATGCCTTTCATAATTATTTGTTTTACTTCATTAAACATCTTACATTTTAACTTTAGTACAGACAAAGTAATGAGCCTAGTCTTATGGTGCGTTCACACCGGACGCGATAATCGCTTGATTTTCACCGCGGCTGCCAGCTGTGTTTACTCGCATCATTCAAACAAGACGCGCTGGCTAGGGGGCTAACTACAACAAAATGAACATATTTGACCGTGATTTAATTGTAATACACGTTTCAAAATGATGCCGAAGTAACAACATACTGATACCGGTTAGTAAAAACCATGAATTAATGCTTTGACAAGTCTGCAGACAGACGGCAGAGAAACACCTTTTAAAATGCGTGTTTTCTAAATGGAGCTTGGCTAAGCTAACGTTATATATGCTCCAACCGTCCACACTCACAACAACGGCCTATACAGACATAAATAAACCAGCGACTGTATTCGCCATGACACAGGCAGTCTGTGGTTTGTACTTGTTTAACTTTTGTCTAGTTTCTGAACAGATATGAGGAGCTGTGAGCTCTGAGTGCTAACAGCTAACGGCTGATGTTGGTTTTCTGTGGTTCTCATTGAAGATGACGTCACGGCTCCGCCTACACTGCGTTACTATAGTTACTGCCCCAGCTACTAAACTGTAATGGAAACGCAGCATAAAGTGAGCCGGGCCTACAGAGGACTAACGAGGCCTAGCCACACCGAGCGAGGCCGTGTAGTGGAAATGCGCCATAAGTGGGAAATTGAGTCGCAACAGGTTGACTTACAGGTTAAACTTGAAAAATATCACACTTTGTAGCCCACCTGCTACTGGCTGGCTTTTGTAACTGTTTACTTTGTTCATTAAACATCTTAAACTTTAACTTTAGTACAGACAAAGTACTAAGCCTAGTCTAAGCCACATCATTTAGTATGAATTCGAGCCGCAAAAGGTTGAATTACAGATTAAAACTTCACAAAGGTCACACTGTCTGACCCACCTGCTGCTCGCTGGTTTCCAGCCTAGACGTCTTCTCTCTGACTTCCTGTTGGAGTGTTTCTCTTTCCTCCATTAGTCGTCTCACCTCCTTCCTCTCCATCTCCAGGCGAATCTCAGCCTCCTGTCCAACTCTTCTTTCTCTACAGAGAGAAGCAACGACCTCCATCCTTTGTTTACTCTCTTCTGAGAGCTCTGCAACGGCCTTTTCCTTCGCTGTCCTCTCAGATTCTAGGAGTTTCTCGTTGACTCCTCTCTCCTTCTGGAAAGATGCCAGAGCCTCCTCTCTTCCTGTAGTTATGATCTCCAGAGCAGAGATGGCTTCCTCTCTTCCTCTCCTCTCCTCCTCACAGGCAGCCAACACATCCTTGGTGAGAGGAGAATTCAATCATTAGTATATTAATGTTTTAACAGCTTTAAAGAGTCCTCTCCTGCTGATGTTCAGGTGTATATCAGTATGTAGTGTCTCTACTTTAAAGAGTCCTCTCCTGCTGATGTTCAGGTGTATATCAGTATGTAGTGTCTCTACTTTAAAGAGTCCTCTCCTGCTGATGTTCAGGTGTATATCAGTATGTAGAGTCTCTACTTTAAAGAGTCCTCTCCTGCTGATGTTCAGGTGTATATCAGTATGTAGTGTCTCTATTTTAAAGAGTCCTCTCCTGCTCTTGTTCAGGTGTATATCAGTATGTAGTGTCTCTACTTTAAAGAGTCCTCTCCTGCTGATGTTCAGGTGTATATCAGTATGTAGAGTCTCTACTTTAAAGAGTCCTCTCCTGCTGATGTTCAGGTGTATATCAGTATGTAGTGTCTCTATTTTAAAGAGTCCTCTCCTGCTCTTGTTCAGGTGTATATCAGTATGCAGTGTCTCTACTTTAAAGAGTCCTCTCCTGCTGATGTTCAGGTGTATATCAGTATGTAGTGTCTCTACTTTAAAGAGTCCTCTCCTGCTGATGTTCAGGTGTATATCAGTATGTAGAGTCTCTACTTTAAAGAGTCCTCTCCTGCTGATGTTCAGGTGTATATCAGTATGTAGTGTCTCTATTTTAAAGAGTCCTCTCCTGCTCTTGTTCAGGTGTATATCAGTATGTAGTGTCTCTACTTTAAAGAGTCCTCTCCTGCTGATGTTCAGGTGTATATCAGTATGTAGTGTCTCTATTTTAAAGAGTCCTCTCCTGCTCTTGTTCAGGTGTATATCAGTATGTATTGTCTCTACTTTAAAGAGTCCTCTCCTGCTCTTGTTCAGGTGTATATCAGTATGTAGTGTCTCTACTTTAAAGAGTCCTCTCCTGCTGATGTTCAGGTGTTTATCAGTATGTTGTTTCTCTACTTTAAGAGTCCTCTCCTGCTGATGTTCAGGTGTATATCAGTATGTAGAGTCTCTACTTTAAAGAGTCCTCTCCTGCTGATGTTCAGGTGTATATCAGTATGTAGTGTCTCTACTTTAAAGAGTCCTCTCCTGCTGATGTTCAGGTGTATATCAGTACGTAGTGTCTCTACTTTAAAGAGTCCTCTCCTGCTGATGTTCAGGTGTATATCAGTATGTAGCATCTCTACTTTAAAGAGTCCTCTCCTGCTGATGTTCAGGTGTATATCAGTATGTAGTGTCTCTACTTTAAAGAGTCCTCTCCTGCTGATGTTCAGGTGTATATCAGTATGTAGTGTCTCTACTTTAAAGAGTCCTCTCCTGCTGATGTTCAGGTGTATATCAGTAGGTAGTGTTTCTACTTTAAAGAGTCCTCTCCTGCTGATGTTCAGGTGTATATCAGTATGTAGTGTCTCTACTTTAAAGAGTCCTCTCCTGCTGATGTTCAGGTGTATATCAGTATGTAGTGTCTCTACTTTAAAGAGTCCTCTCCTGCTGATGCTCAGGTGTATATCAGTATGTAGTGTTTCTACTTTAAAGAGTCCTCTCCTGCTGATGTTCAGGTGTATATCAGTATGTAGTGTCTCTACTTTAAAGAGTCCTCTTCTGCTGATGCTCAGGTGTATATCAGTATGTAGTGTCTCTACTTTAAAGAGTCCTCTCCTGCTGATGTTCAGGTGTATATCAGTATGTAGAGTCTCTACTTTAAAGAGTCCTCTCCTGCTGATGTTCAGGTGTATATCAGTATGTAGAGTCTCTACTTTAAAGAGTCCTCTCCTGCTGATGTTCAGGTGTATATCAGTATGTAGTGTCTCTACTTTAAAGAGTCCTCTCCTGCTGATGTTCAGGTGTATATCAGTATGTAGTGTCTCTACTTTAAAGAGTCCTCTCCTGCTGATGTTCAGGTGTATATCAGTAGGTAGTGTTTCTACTTTAAAGAGTCCTCTCCTGCTGATGTTCAGGTGTATATCAGTATGTAGTGTCTCTACTTTAAAGAGTCCTCTCCTGCTGATGTTCAGGTGTATATCAGTATGTAGTGTCTCTACTTTAAAGAGTCCTCTCCTGCTGATGCTCAGGTGTATATCAGTATGTAGTGTTTCTACTTTAAAGAGTCCTCTCCTGCTGATGTTCAGGTGTATATCAGTATGTAGTGTCTCTACTTTAAAGAGTCCTCTTCTGCTGATGCTCAGGTGTATATCAGTATGTAGTGTCTCTACTTTAAAGAGTCCTCTCCTGCTGATGTTCAGGTGTATATCAGTATGTAGAGTCTCTACTTTAAAGAGTCCTCTCCTGCTGATGCTCAGGTGTATATCAGTATGTAGTGTCTGTACTTTAAAGAGTCCTCTCCTGCTGATGTTCAGGTGTATATCAGTATGTAGTGTCTCTACTTTAAAGAGTCCTCTCCTGCTGATGTTCAGGTGTATATCAGCATGTAGTGTCTCTACTTTAAAGAGTCCTCTCCTGCTGATGTTCAGGTGTATATCAGTATGTAGTGTCTCTACTTTAAAGAGTCCTCTCCTGCTGATGTTCAGGTGTTTGTGTTACCATTGCTGTTGCGTCTTGCCCGGGTCCAGCGTCGGCCATCGTGTCGATGAGATTCTTGAATATCTTCATCCTAGTTTCTGCTCTATCCTCCAGGATCTCTTTGTCCCTCGACAGGCGCTCCCTGACACACAGGTATTAATTTATTACCTACCACACACACACACACACACACACACGATCCCAGCTGATTAATAAATCTCACTTGTAATCGTTTTCCATCTTGGAGAAGAGCTCGGAGAATTCTTTGTCGATTTCCTCTCTGACCCGAGTCTCCATCAGAAGGTTCTCCGCTCTTTCCTTCTGCAGCTGGACCTGCAGCTGCTTCACCTGAGGAGCGAGACACAAGGATAGTGTTCAGGTAAAGCAGGGGTGTCAAATAGGGGTGTAACGGTATCCGTATTCGTCCCGTACCGTCACGGTTCGGACGTCACGGTTCGGACGTCACGGTTCGGCACATGCAGTCACACGGCGAATACGCCTTTTTTTACGACTGGGAAAAAAGTCTGTCACTCAGGGCAGTATTACACTATATATAATCCAGGGGCGGCATTGCGCCTAAAAGCCAGCCGGCCGTAAATAACACATGAAGAACAAGAACAAAACACAACAAAACGAACACAATACATGAAGAAGAGAAGTTAGTATCTATGGCGAGTTCACACAACACACAGGAGCTAGAAGACCCACCTGCTTCTTTTAAATCAGGTGTGTGGGAACATTTCGGGTTCCCTGTGGACTACAACAATGATGGGGTGCGAGTTGTGGATCGGAGGAGGACGGTGTGTCGGCGTTGTTCGACAGCAGTGCGGTATGCTAGTGGTAACACGTCAAACATGCTCAATCACATCCGAGTCAGTCTCAGTCCCAGCGAGAGGGTTTTCTCGACGGCAGGTGACAGTTACCGCCAACAGATCTGCCCTCACTGCTGACAACGTAGACAAACTCATCTTTTTGAAGAACAACTTGAAAATAGAGTAAAGCTTGAGTACCTTAATTTAGGCATAATAGCTTCACACACTCACAAGTTAATTACACATGTTACACATTGCTCCTAAAGGTACAGATTTTATTTTGTTTTATATTTATCATTGTATTTATTTTATATTTTGACATCAGGAGATGTTATACAGTTCTGTATTGCCTTTTATTGATTGTGATTGAAACACTTTCTTATTATTTATTTAAATATTTTCAAGACATTCGTTTTAGTTGTTCAGCTTATTGAACCTTTTTGTTTGACATCAGCCATTATAAATAATATGGCCATCTGAGTGTGTGTGTTACTGTTTGTGGTTTGTTTTTAACTGTGTAAAACAGTTAATGATTCCAAATGTTAGAGTTCCTTATTTTCATACCAAAACTTGCACTACTGTTAAAAAAAATGCCTTTGGGACTTTTTTTTGCTTTTCCTTGTTGTACCGAACCCGTACCGAACCGTGACCCCCAAACCGAGGTATGAACCGAACCGTGACTTCTGTGAACCGTTACACCCCTAGTGTCAAACTCAAGACTTCATTTCCCGTGGCCGGCAAGAGCTCTGAAAGAATTGAATACGTTTATTATACGGTTGAATGCAGCTTTACAGAAGCACGCTGCCCATAAACTACATGACCAGTCAAAATCGAAGGATCCAACGTGTTTTTAAACGGAGCAGAAATAGAACTAGTCTCCCACTTCAAGTATCTTGGAGTCATATTGGACTCGAACTTGACTTTTAAAAAACATATTAAGAAAGTATCAAATACCGTTAAATTCAACTTGCAACATGTTGAACAAATGAGACCTTTCTTAAGTGTCAAAGCTGCAGAGTCAGACCTCCACTGTGATTCTATCCCACATTGAATACTGTTTGACAAACTGGTCGTTTGCTTGAGCCACAAACCTGAAACCCAGAGAACAGCTGTTCAAGAGAGCTGTCCAGGTGTTTGACAGAAAGCCTCATTCATACCACCTCTGCACCATCCTGGAGAAACACCATTTATTGAGTTTTGACCATTTTAAGTCTTTTAAAAGTATGTTTTTCTTATAAATGTTTATATGGACTGCCCCCCCCCTGCAACCCTAACCGGTAAGAAACTGACCTGCTGCGTGATTTCCTCTTCGTCGCACGTCTGATCCATCGTGCTCTCCATCAGGCTCTGATCTTCCTCATCCTCGTCATCCTCATCCTCCTGGACACAAGAAGGACATCATTAAATCTACTTATTTATATAAATAGTTATTACCGTATTAAATGTTGTCTTAATGTACATTATTGAATTTCACATTCTGTTCTTGTACATATATTATATTTACGTGTATATAGACTTCTTGCACTATTTTTTCTAAAATATAAGGAAAGTTAGAGGCTTGTTGTGTGACCCCTCATCCCACTTTACCTGGACATCCTCTAGGCTGGTTTCCCAGCCAATCAGGGAGCTCCTCCGGTTGCCGGGCCGATCCCTGTCAGCGGTGTTGATGATGATGGACACCTCGCACCCCGACCTCTTGGGAGCGATGGGAGGCAAACGAGACGACAGGACGACCACCTGGAGACACACAAGAGAAACAAGTAAATAATCACTGTGTAGTATACGTTTATAGAACAAGGACATTACATATAAATACTTTAATCTCAAAAAGAGAACACATTATTGATTCTAGGTTATTTAACTTTGTCTTTATGTTTAAGGGTTATAGTCTGTTTGAGTTCTGCCCGTACGGGTTCATCATTGGAGAGGGTGTGGCTGTCCTGTCTGTGTTGCATTGCAGTAACTCGGGGCACCTGGGTCTGGTGCCCTGCAGCTATTTAAAGCCTCTCTGCTTTTCCCTGCAGGCTCTGTTGAGTATGGCGAACTGGTTGACCTGAATTGTTTGTACAAATAAACACCTTTTGCCACCCGTTGACATGGTGCGTCTCCTCTTTGTTGTGGCCTTTTGAGCCGGGTCATAACAAACCAGAATGGCATTTACACAATAGAAAAAACAGACGGACAAAAGGACTGCATTTGGCTGCAGCCGAGTTTAAAAAGGCCGAGTTCAGAGAGAGTAAATGAAGATGTGTTTGTACCTTCTGGGCCACAGCAGAGAACTTGAGGACGTTGAGGGTCTCGTCGTACATGGAGGCGCATTGGTTGATGTTGACGATCATGCAGGCTTTCCCTCTCCCACAGAAGAAGCTCTGCAGGTAGTGGGTGAGTTTGCTCTCTCTGAAGGGAACGTGCTGCAGCGGCCTGAAGGAGGAAGAGATCCGTTAGCATGCATTCATTTGTTTTGTGGCACATCGTTGTGCTAAACTACCTCCTGTAGAAGTTACGTAAAGCAGGAAGCGTCGAAGGCGAATGTTGAGAATTTATTTTACTAATTTAGATTTTTTCTTTTTTGAAAGTTTTCTTTTTTCACAACATTTTGACTTTAATACTCAGAATGTGTTTTCTCCTAATTTTGAAAGTTTTCATCTGATTTTTTTCCCTTGAGATTTTGACTTATTTCAAAGAATTTAGACTTTTCTTCTCAGAAATCTTGTTCTCAACATTTTGATAATTGTTCTCAACATTTTTTGTATCAGATTTTTTTCTCCTGGGACTGACTATCCGAATGTTTGACTTTCTTTCTGAGAAATGTTAATTTTTCTCAGAAATGTGTGCTAAACTATCTCTCGTAGAAGTTACGTAAAGCAGGAAGCGTTGAAGATGAATGTTGAGAATTTATTTTTCCTAATTTTGACTTTTTTTTCTCAGATTTTCTTTTCTCAAATCTTGAGAAAAATTATAATTGTTCTCAAGATATTGAGAACAAGATTAGTGTGTTTTGATTTCTTTTATCAGATGTTTTTCTCTTGGGACTTTCACTTTTTTTCTCCGAATGTTTGACTTTTATTTCAGAAATTTGACCTTTTTTTCTTGTCATTTTGACTTTTTTTCTCAAAATGTGTTTTCTCCTAATTTAAAATAGTTTTTATTAATAGATTCTTTCCCCTTCGGATCTTGACTTTTTTTCTCGGAAACGTTTCTCTCAGAATCTTTACTTTTTTCACTGAATTTTTTTCTGTCAAAGGTGGGGTAGGTAAGTTTGAGAAACCGGCTCGAGATACACTTGTTGTTATATTCCATGGAATGCTCTGAACATCCCGATAGCAATGAATATCTGAAGTGCTTTGACAAAAAATCCATACAAAGTGTCATCAGTGGAAGCCGTGGCGCTGTAGAAAGCACGACCAATCATCTGAGCCGGCTAAAGTAACTGGATGGCCTACCTGCCTGTCAGCCTTCCATCTGGGCACAAACTTATCTCGTGCCCTCATTGGTCATGTGCGCGTTCGTGTGTGTTGGAGGACGGGCTCTGTGAGGAAGGGGCAGATTTTTTCCGGCTGTGTATTTTCAGATTCTAGCCACTCGAGCTGGTTTCTCCAAAATGACCGACCCCACCTTTAATGTTTCCTTTTTTTCTCTGAATTTTTACTTTTTTAAATTGTTATCACAATTTAAAACCATTCGACCAGTCCCAGATAGGATAACGTCTCACTTGGCCTGCTGGTTGTGTCGCAGTGCGTTGAGACATTTTCCCAGGATCAGCAGAGACATATTAATATTCCCGGCTTCTTTCAGGCGCTCTCCTTTATTCTGAGTCTTTGCACACCGCTCCGATCCAGCCAGGTCACACAGACACAACCTGATGACAGAAAACAAGAGAAATTAAAGATAATTTTGCACAACGATGCCAGTCAGAAGCATACGTCAGAAGCATATGCAAAAAACGTCTAAAATCAAAATATTAAAGTCTCACTCACTCGCTGACTGTGTGGACCCGCAGAGTCCCAATGTCTTCAATCCTCAGTATCCGAATGGAGAAAATACTGTGACTGCAGACAGACAGAAAAAAAATTAAACACATTTAAATTGTATAATATGCAATTAGGCGAAAACACCTGAAGAAATAAAAACAAACATGGAAACTTAAGACTCAGCGAAGACTTACTCTGCTCAAACTTTTAAGCAACGTAGCATTTAGTAAGGTAAAAACCAAAATTGAACAAGTGCTGAGGGAATGTATAGAGAAAGGATACTGAGGGGTTACTAACTGTGTGATTACAGGAACATAAAGACGTCACATAAACAGATTCACAGATAATTAAGTAGTTTTTTATTATTTATTTATTTGACCTTTTTGGTCTGAACTGTGTTCCTCACCTCCTGCTGGACAGGAAGTTGAGTCGGGTCTCGCTGAAACTCTGGTTCTTTTTGCCGAGCTTCAACACTTTATAAGCTTCTTCTGCCGTATTCACCTGAACCCAGCGCAGATCTGAAAACAAATAAATAAGGACTCTTTAAAGTAGAGACACTACATACTGATATACACCTGAACATCAGCAGGAGAGGACTCTTTAAAGTAGAGACAATACATACTGATATACATCTGAACATCAGCAGGAGAGGACTCTTTAAAGTAGAGACACTACATACTGATATACACCTGAACATCATCAGGAGAGGACTCTTTAAAGTAGAGACAGTACATGCTGATATACACCTGAACATCAGCAGGAGAGGACTCTTTAAAGTAGAGACACTACATACTGATATACACCTGAACATCAGCAGGAGAGGACTCTTTAAAGTAGAGACACTACATACTGATATACACCTGAACATCAGCAGGAGAGGACTCTTTAAAGTAGAGACAATACATACTGATATACATCTGAACATCAGCAGGAGAGGACTCTTTAAAGTAGAGACACTACATACTGATATACATCTGAACATCAGCAGGAGAGGACTCTTTAAAGTAGAGACACTACATACTGATATACACCTGAACATCAGCAGGAGAGGACTCTTTAAAGTAGAGACACTACATACTGATATACACCTGAACATCAGCAGGAGAGGACTCTTTAAAGTAGAGACACTACATACTGATATACACCTGAACATCAGCAGGAGAGGACTCTTTAAAGTAGAGACACTACATACTGATATACACCTGAACATCAGCAGGAGAGGACACTTTAAAGTAGAGACACTACATACTGATATACACCTGAACATCAGCAGGAGAGGACTCTTTAAAGTAGAGACAATACATACTGATATACACCTGAACATCAGCAGGAGAGGACTCTTTAAAGTAGAGACACTACATACTGATATACACCTGAACATCAGCAGGAGAGGACTCTTTAAAGTAGAGACAATACATACTGATATACATCTGAACATCAGCAGGAGAGGACTCTTTAAAGTAGAGACACTACATACTGATATACACCTGAACATCATCAGGAGAGGACTCTTTAAAGTAGAGACAGTACATGCTGATATACACCTGAACATCAGCAGGAGATGACTCTTTAAAGTAGAGACAGTACATGCTGATATACACCTGAACATCATCAGGAGAGGACTCTTTAAAGTAGAGACAGTACATGCTGATATACACCTGAACATCAGCAGGAGAGGACTCTTTAAAGTAGAGACACTACATACTGATATACACCTGAACATCAGCAGGAGAGGACTCTTTAAAGTAGAGACAATACATACTGATATACATCTGAACATCAGCAGGAGAGGACTCTTTAAAGTAGAGACACTACATACTGATATACACCTGAACATCAGCAGGAGAGGACTCTTTAAAGTAGAGACACTACATACTGATATACACCTGAACATCAGCAGGAGAGGACTCTTTAAAGTAGAGACACTACATACTGATATACACCTGAACATCAGCAGGAGAGGACTCTTTAAAGTAGAGACAATACATACTGATATACACCTGAACATCAGCAGGAGAGGACTCTTTAAAGTAGAGACACTACATACTGATATACACCTGAACATCAGCAGGAGAGGACTCTTGAAAGTAGAGACAATACATACTGATATACACCTGAACATCAGCAGGAGAGGACTCTTTAAAGTAGAGACACTACATACTGATATAAACCTGAACATCAGCAGGAGAGGACTCTTTAAAGTAGATACACTACATACTGATATACACCTGAACATCAGCAGGAGAGGACTCTTTAAAGTAGAGACACTACATACTGATATACACCTGAACATCAGCAGGAGAGGACTCTTTAAAGTAGAGACACTACATACTGATATACACCTGAACATCAGCAGGAGAGGACTCTTTAAAGTAGAGACACTACATACTGATATATACCTGAACATCAGCAGGAGAGGACTCTTTAAAGTACAGACACTACATACTGATATACACCTGAACATCAGCAGGAGAGGACTCTTTAAAGTACAGACACTACATACTGATATACACCTGAACATCAGCAGGAGAGGACTCTTTAAAGTAGAGACACTACATACTGATATACACCTGAACATCAGCAGGAGAGGACTCTTTAAAGTAGAGACACTACATACTGATATACACCTGAACATCAGCAGGAGAGGACTCTTTAAAGTAGAGACACTACATACTGATATACACCTGAACATCAGCAGGAGAGGACTCTTTAAAGTAGAGACACTACATACTGATATACACCTGAACATCAGCAGGAGAGGACTCTTTAAAGTAGAGACACTACATAATGATATACACCTGAACATGAGCAGGAGAGGACTCTTTAAAGTAGAGACACTACATACTGATATACACCTGAACATCAGCAGGAGAGGACTCTTTAAAGTACAGACACTACATACTGATATACACCTGAACATCAGCAGGAGAGGACTCTTTAAAGTAGAGACACTACATACTTATATACATCTGAACATCAGCAGGAGAGGACTCTTTAAAGTACAGACACTACATACTGATATACACCTGAACATCAGCAGGAGAGGACTCTTTAAAGTAGAGACACTACATACTGATATACATCTGAACATCAGCAGGAGAGGACTCTTTAAAGTACAGACACTACATACTGATATACACCTGAACATCAGCAGGAGATGACTCTTTAAAGTAGAGACACTACATACTGATATACATCTGAACATCAGCAGGAGAGAACTCTTTAAAGTAGAGACACTACATACTGATATACACCTGAACATCAGCAGGAGAGGACTCTTTAAAGTACAGACACTACATACTGATATACACCTGAACATCAGCAGGAGAGGACTCTTTAAAGTAGAGACACTACATACTGATTTACACCTGAACATCAGCAGGAGAGGACTCTTTAAAGTACAGACACTACATACTGATTTACACCTGAACATCAGCAGGAGAGGACTCTTTAAAGTACAGACACTACATACTGATTTACACCTGAACATCAGCAGGAGAGGACTCTTTAAAGTAGAGACACTACATACTGATATACACCTGAACATCAGCAGGAGAGGACTCTTTAAAGTAGAGACACTACATACTGATATACACCTGAACATCAGCAGGAGAGGACTCTTTAAAGTAGAGACACTACATACTGATATACACCTGAACATCAGCAGGAGAGGACTCTTTAAAGTAGAGACACTACATACTGATATACATCTGAACATCAGCAGGAGAGGACTCTTTAAAGTACAGACACTACATACTGATATACACCTGAACATCAGCAGGAGAGGACTCTTTAAAGTAGAGACACTACATACTGATATACACCTGAACATCAGCAGGAGAGGACTCTTTAAAGTAGAGACACTACATACTGATATACACCTGAACATCAGCAGGAGAGGACTCTTTAAAGTGTCTAACCTTTGACGAAGGAGTTGCCCTTGATGTCCTGTGAAAGGCGCAGATTGATCCTCTTCATGGCTCCGCTGGGTGCCGCCTCCAGGAGGTCGTGAATGTTCTCATTGTAGATTTCACAGAAAGAAACCCAAACAGAGAACTTTGTGTTTGTGTCCACTTCCAGATTGATCCTCTGCTCTGAAGTATCCATCATGGAGGTGCCTGAAACGGAGAGGAACGTAAAAATCGTCTTCATCATCAAGAAACACGCTCTACGGGAGCTGCAGTTACAGAACTCGTTTTGTGCTTCACTTTAATGTATAACAAAAAGCAAAGAGATGAAAAAACATTATTAGATTAAGAGAAATATTGCCTTCAAAGAGAGACTTGTTGGTGGAGTTCTGCAGGCTGGCATTGCTCCTCTCATTCTAGAAGACAAATTAAAGATTCAAATGTTAAAATCACAGTAAAGCAGCGTTTTATCAGAAAGCGTCAGAAATTGTTGATTTTAAATTATGCAATTATCAAATCGCAAAGCCAGTGTCAGTCATCCACACCAATCAGAAGTGCTGTGCTCCACATGTACCAGCCATTGTTAACCAATCAGAGTGCTGTGCTCCACATGTACCAGCCATTGTTAACCAATCAGAAGTGCTGTGCTTCACATGTACCAGCCATTGTTAACCAATCAGAAGTGCTGTGCTCCACATGTACCAGCCATTGTTAACCAATCAGAAGTGCTGTGCTCCACATGTACCAGCCATTGTTAACCAATCAGAAGTGGCCCGTGATAGAAGGTGATGGACAGATTGATCCAATCACCTGCCAAATGGCTTCCAATGGAGCTCTCCTAGATGGTTTGGTGAAGCAAAGAGTAATGCTCCATCACATGTTTCTATTACAGGGTGAATCTTAAAGGGCCCATGTCGTGCTTTTCCGGTTGTTACCCGTCCCCTTGTGTGTGATGAAGGTGTTCCTGCATGTAAACGGTCTGCAGAGTCAAAAACCCTCAAAGTACACCCTGTACCTCCCCAAAACGCCTCGTTGGAGATTTCTCATTTACTTCCTGGGTACTCTGACGAAGGGATACCCAGAGGCCACACCCTCTGCCAGCCTTTCACGAAACAAAGCTTCCCAAACCTTTCAGCGATTCATGTACAGCGTAGGGCACTGAAGAACGATGCTGTTCCTACTTTGTTTGGACCAGCGGGAGATTCGAGTACACAACCTGTTGTTGTTGTTGGTGTATTTATGATTGTTACGTTCCCTACTGGGCTAGGGGAACCAAAGGGAAGTAACAAAATATAAAATGACCGGGCGAGAGAAAAAGGAGAGGAAACGGATCGAAGCCACAAATTGAGGTTTTAATGGACAAAAAGAAAAACGGGCTCACCAGTAAACTAGGGTACCAAAGTATACAGGAACACAACTCCTAACAATTCACAAATATACAGGCCTCACACAGAGACAGAAACATGCAGCCAGAGGAGAAGGAGAGAGACCACTGCAGCCTTCCTCAGGTCCTTTAAGGAGGCCCTGATGGGGATTGGGAGCACCTGGGGGAGAGGCTGCACCTGGAGACAATCAGGGAGGGAGACCGACGCACACACAAAAGCACCAACTGCGGCATGACAAAAACAAACAAGGTATCTACCACGACTGTTTAAATGGGTAAACGTTTTTCGGACTGCTAAGTTTGGATGGTGGAGAAATGCTCTCCGCAGATTCTCACAGCCTTATAAACCTTTTTCTTTCTCAATATCAAGCCACACTTATTGTTTTTACTTCGGCTGTGAGTGTTTGTGTGCTCAGGATGAGTTTCGCTTGTTCTCGCTGTATTTGTTTCGCCGACACGGAAGCCCTGGCCGTTTCTCAATCGCGAGGATGCTTGCTTGGTAGCACATGTCTTCCGAGTCACTTCCTTCAGAAGCTAGGCAAGAATCCTTCCTGGCATTCGGAAAACGAAGAGTGGAACAGGCGAGCAAGTGTGCGTCATATGAGAGGCCCCGCCTTACATTTTCCTCAACAGATTTGGGGAAATTGGTCCGTGCGCAAAGCATTGTGGGGATTTGAAGGACGTGAAGTCTACCCATGTGCAGCCTCGAAATTACCCCCAAACCAAGGACGCGGCCTCGGTGGAATTCCAAGTATGCTGGAGATTGGAACAGTCCTTCGGCGGCACTCGATGACGTAGTATCCTTGAAATATTGGCTTGGAAGCCAGTTTCCTCGAGATTGAGAAACGGCCCCAGTCTGCTCCTCACAGCACTCAGGAGCAGCTGCACGTCGCTTGACCAATCAGAGCACACTGGGCTCACAGGGAGGGGGGGGGGGGGGGGGGGGGGGGCGAGCTCCAACAAGCCGTTTAGGACAGAGAGTGAATACACATACTTTACAGAGATGCTGTAAGAGAAACCAATGTGAGTTTTATAAAATCTATTCTAGCAGACCTCAACAATGGAATTATGATCAGTAGAAATGGCCATGACACGGGACCTTTAATCTGAAGCTTGACTTTAAAGCAACCCAACGGAAGTTTCATGTAAGTTTAGTTATTTCGCTCGTAGCTCGGGCTGCGGGATGCTAGAGACGGGAGTACGTTGATGCGACCTTCCTAGCCGGAGATATGGCCGCATTTTACAATAAACCTCCATTGGGTCGCTTAAAAACAAATATCGCAAATCGAATCGCAATATCTGTCAGAAAAATCGCAATTAGATTCTTTCCTCAAATCGTGCAGCCCTATTTTGGTCATATTATTATTTTACTTATTATCTTGTAATTCATGTTTTTGAGTTGGGTCACATGGATAATGGCGACTCACCTGTGTGGAAACGAGCGTGAAAGGTCGCTGTACCTTATGCAACTTTTTTGAAAGCTGGATAAACTGGATCATATGTTTGTGCAAGTTATAATAAATTGATAATTTTCGTTAAATTAAGATTTTGTTCAACACATTTTTTAATCTCAGCGTTGATTTTTTAAAAATTGCGTGTCAGACAAAAAGGCAACCAGGCCTTTGTTTGTTCCTGAAGTCACGAATCACAAAGTACCTCACAAGAGTAATAACTTTAAGCAAATAAGACATACACACACTTCAAAAGCAATGAAAAAAAGCTCCTACGGGACTTGTTCCGAGTTTATGTTGGTGGGAGTAAGGTCCAGCTTTAAGAAATGCGCAAAGTGTACAAGACGACTTGCATGAGATGTATATCATGCAATAACTCAAAAGCGAAGGTCTTTGAAAGAGCAATACAATTCTCAAACTCAAATGTGTTGTTCTTGTGAAATCCTCTCACCTGGGAGTAGGGCTGTACCCGAATACCCGAATATTCGTTCGTTGGAGTACTATTCGGGTTTCAATTTCCTTATTCGGATATTCGTTTTTTCTCAAATTGAATTTATCGAAACCTCCAATATCAACGTAAGAGCTTGTGCCTCTTCGGGGGGTGCTAACACTTTGTAACAACCGGTGTTTATGTGACCGGTAGTCACTCACGGTAACGCCCACCCAGCCAGTGATTCGCTGTTGGTTGGCGCCTCATTTCCTTCCCCCCCTATTTAGTTAGACGGAGCCGGAAGGAAAAGGTGTGTGCAGCAAGAGGGATCGGCGGAGCAACACGCTCATCTGTTAGCAACCAGCAGTTAGGTCGTTTACAGTCCGTACCGTTTGTCTGGTCCACCGTCATCCGGCATCATACCCTTGCTTCACGTTCCTGGATTATTGCATACAAAGCTGAAAGGAGCCGCTCATCTCACAAAACCTTAAAAACCAGGACTGGATTGCTCAAACCGACTGACATTCTCCTGTGGTAATTGACTGTTTTATTTATTTTGAAGGACACCCAGAGTGGAACGTTTTGGATTTACATTTTGAACCGTGGGAAGACGAATTTGTTTGTATTCAAAAATACACTTACTACTTGTGATTATGATTTTGAGTTGTGTCTTTTCTTATATTTTAATGTCATTCAATGTGGGGTGTTTATAGAGAGATGTATACACCTTTGTGCAGATTTACAAAAACTGACTGACTAAGCCAAATCTGAAACGTCAGGAGAGAGACCTGACTGGCACCCCAAATAAGTAAACTGTCACACTTGACCATAAACGTTATCGTTTACTTTCTCCGTCTTTATATGTAGATATTACTTTTCTCCGTTAATCTCTGTCACGTTGTTTCCATAGCAACAACAACTTCCTGTCAACAGCCCTAACTCTCCTTCAAAATAAAAGCATGTCCATACAAAATAGGAAGCCAAACCAAATTACCAAAATTGAATTTTGACTTGAGCCGTCCGTGATAGATACTGTCTTTTTACGTTAGTGAGCCGGATCATTTGGCTCGGCTCTCTTAAAACGCCGGCTGTGTCGGCTCCCAAGCGGCTCTTCATGTTACCACAGTTTACCACGGAGCCTCAGTTTCGCCGCTGCGAGGCTCTGGCGCTCGCAGCTCACGCGCATGCTCCACTAAAACCCCCCCGTTCATCGCGTCCAAATCGTGCAGGTTCCGTGTTGTTGTCCTGTAGCAGGCACCGCCGATGTCGGGGAAACGATCTTCAAAAAATACTCCAAAAATAATCCCACCAGACTCCTTTGCCCCTCCAACAGAGGGATGTCTGTGTACTTTTTCCTTTTCGTCATTTCAAGCGATAAAAACTCTCGATCTTCTCTCGAATTATTAATATTTGTGGACGCCCTCGGCTCGAGTTCAGGGCGTCTCGAGCTGAATAAGGGCGTCAAATGACGGCAAGACGCCCCCCTGGCGGAAACGCTGGTCCCCGGTGTGTCAGGGAACTCACCAAGTGTCAGAAAACACAACCGTCTCTCTTTTCCTCCATACCCACATCTCTAAAAACGGGGGCTGCAACGGATCTGATACAGATTGATCCAATTCAATTCAAAACCTTTATTTATCAGGTAAAATCCCATTGAGATCAATGATCTCTTTTTCAAGGGAGACCTGCAGCAGTAGGTTCCACAAGAAGACATAAAAACATAAACAACAGAACAACAAAAGGACATCATCCAGATTTGAAATTGTTCTGACGTCAGAAACGAGGAGCGCCTCAAGGATAGAGGGTGTCGTTTTTCTCATACTGATATTCTGAACAATCTGTGCTGTTGTATTTGCTGTAAAGTGTCTCTACTGTAGCAGTGTGAGAAAAAGTTTTTAGAGAGTACTTGTCCATGGACAAGTGAGTTTGGCAATTTACTTGTCCGAATACATTTTTCACTTGTCCAGAATGGACATAAATTGGGGCCACTGGAATCTTCTTCTTCATCATCGTATTTTACATTTTCCCACGTTTTTTACGACACCGCTAACGTAAGTGAGCGGTAAGATTTTACTGCATCACACATAGGGTTGGGTATCATTTGGATTTGAACGATTCCGGTTCTGCTTTTCGATTCCAGTTATTTTCGGTTCTCGATTCCGGTTCTTAAGAGGGTAAAAATAAGTCCCATGACAAACTGGGAGAAAAATATATTTATGAAAACATTAAGTCAAATCTGTATTCCTATTTACAAATCACTTCATACTGTTTAATTTCTTACGGTTATTGAATACAATTATATAAAAATAATCTCTGCATTGATTAGTTAGTTCTAAATGGTGCAGTTTGAGAATGCACAATTGGCCCAGTCTCCTCTGATGTTACACTGCAACCTGCCTGTGAGACAACCACACAGTCTGTGTGTCCAACACATGTCCTGCAACACACATGCTGCAACCTGCCTGTGAGACAGAGTCCAACCACACATGTCCAACACATAGGCCTAATAATAATAATAATACATTATATTTATAGACTATAGGCCTAGCGCTTTTCTAAAACTCAAAGACGCTTACACATGTCCTGCAATACACATGCTGCAGCTGCTCACTGTTTGTAAAAGTAAATAAATAGTATTTTCATTTCAATAATGTACTTTCTATACCCTGCTTCATAAACAATACTGACATCCCTGTGCTCCTCCGAGTCTGGGGGTCCGGGGATGTGAGGACAGCGCGAGGACACAGACAGGGAGGCTGCTTCACTTCATAAAGGAAATGGCGGTCATTCGGTCAATATTAACAACACAGGAGCTAAAACGCTTAATAACCTTCATTATGTGTTAGAGAAAGAACATAAGAAAGTTTGACAAAGATGAGGCTGTTAAACGGGCAGCGGATCCTCTGTGTGTAGAGAGAGAGAGAGACGCTGAGCTGCACCGTGCAGCGATCAGCTGATACCGAGCATAGAGAGAGCTGCAGTCCGCGGGGCTCGGCCTTGCCTCCTGTCCTCACAACTCAAATAACAATTGTCCGGTCCCGGGATTGATGCAATTGTTATTTGTTCCTACTCGGAACCGAGTTTTGCTTCCCAACCCTGCCACTTATTATAAATCCATGGTCCCCGCCCCGCCCCGCCCCGCCCCGCCCCGCCCCGCCTAACTGTACAGAAAGCGGCGAGATGCATTTCCTTAGGAATCGACAAGCAGAACCGAAACTAACATTTCTAAACGAACAATGGCGGACACGGACAATTTGCGGATGAGTTCTGCCTTTTGTAAACTGAATTTATCAATAATTTGTCAATAAATCAGGGCGAAAAACGTCACTTGTCCGCCGGACAAGTCAATTGAAAGATCTACTTGTCCGATATTGTAAATAACACGTCCCGGACGGTGGGACGTGTACTTTTTCGCACACTGTGTAGGCTATTTTTATTTTATGTTCAGCACTTTGGCTCGACCAAAAATCGTTTATAAATGTGCTATAAATAAAACTTGATTTGATATATGGGCAACTCTCCACCTATCAGGGGAATGGAAGGTTGCCGTGGCATGGTAACAGCATGGTAACAGCATGGTAACAGCATGGTAACAGCATGGTAACAGCATGGTAACAGCATGGTAACAGCATGGTAACAGCATGGCAACATGATGCTCGTGCCTCGCCCCCCAGGTCAGCTGCAGCTCATTTGCCACAGAATCAGCCCTTGCAAAAACAGGGCTGGAATAGAGCGAAATGAGGCATGGCTCAAATGCATGAACAGTTTGGTATCACAGATAGGGGTGTAACGGTTCACAAACATTTCTGTTCGGTGCGTACCTCGGTTTTTAGGTCACGGTTCGGTACGTTTTCGGTACAGCAGAAAACATGATCACAAAACATAAAATATATATATATATTTTTTAATTATTATTAAACTGAATATTCACTCAAATAAATACAAAATATAATAAAATAAACATTAAGGTGCATTTGAACTGTACTGTACTAGTTCCTAAGCAGCCAGCTTGACATTAGGACTTGCTTGTCATTGTATTTTCATGTTGTTTAAAGAAAGATGAACTTGTCCACATTGCTTGCTGAAAGGGCAGATCTGCTGGCACTAACAATGTCTCCTGCTGTAGAGAACACCCTCTCTCTAGGGACAGAGGTAGCAGACACAGCCAGGTAGCGCTTTGCTAACATGGCAACATAAGGATATTTGGCGTTTGTAATAGCTTTGGCTCGGTCTGAACTCTCTGCGAGTGGTGGAGGCTTACATGCTAGCGGGAGTTGGGTTTGCTACCGAACCGAAGGGCCCGTACCGAATAATTTCGGTACGGGTACGTATGCCGTTACACCCCTAGTCACACACATGTTTTGTATAGGTACGGCCCTATAATATATCATTCAAATATAGCATGATAGGTCCACTTTAAGGCTGGAGGTGCTGCTCTGCTGAATACTTTATTATTTATCCACAGCAGCAATTGTGAGATTTGCAAATTACTCCTCAGCTCACTGCGTTATCCTTCATAAATGCAGGGGTAGCCATTAAGGGTAAAAAGCCACTGGCCCTCCGGGCCGGTGGAATTGTATTATCACTGGCCCCACCATTGTAACCACTGGCCCGGAGCTTTCGTCCAAAAAAAATCGACTAATAATGAAGAAAATTAACACATTTGTTGCAATAGTAATTTATGCACTAACTACATTACTACTTGTACTACAACATTTGAACAATCAGTTCTTCCTCCTTTTCCTCAATTGTTCATATTTGGTTTATTAAAATAATGATATTGTGGTCATTGTTAAAACATGTCAGCTATTATTATGAGTATTATTATTTGTATAATGCGCTTTCTGCCTTCCTGTCATCAGGAGTTAGAAATGTAATGGCTATAGATTAGATTAGATCCTTCATTATCCTAAACTGCTGGGACATTTCGCCAATACCTTTTATATTTTCTACTCTTCACTTACTTGTCAGCATAGGTCTGCATTGATGTACAGAGCCGACAGAAGACCTTGTTTATATTGGCATCATATTGAGAGGCGCAGCCAGTGACGCGTCATAAAACCAGGAAGTAAGCTGCTGGTTCCCTCGACAGAAAGCAATGGGATTTATTTCTCCACAGGGTTTTGGAAAATAGCTGGAAATAAGGTCTGTGGAAAACAAACCTGTTTGATAAATGCACGTTTTGTTCAGCCGGATAATCTCCACATGTCTACCCTACTTTTATCATTTTCGAATCATAAATCTAATCGATAGACTATAAAAGGGTTTTAGGACGCGTCACTGCACCACTAGAAGCCAACTCCAACAATCAAGCTGGCTGAAACTTTCTCTCCCTCTTCTTCTCATGCTCCCTGTCACTCTCCTTTAACTCCTCCGGTGACTTTCTTTTATTTGAAGATTGTTTTTTGCCCGGCGCTTGGCCGGTTACCGCTGGTATTAAAAACATTTTGGCGAATGGTTAGGTGGCGTGATAGTCTGTAGTGAAAGAGCAGGCTCCCGCTCACGGGAGCCTGCTCGCGCTGCGATCCGCAGAAAACAGCTGTTTGCTTTTCACCCAACAACGACAAGCGACTCACGAAACGCTATGTTGTAGCGTTAAGAAACGAAACAATTTAACTAAATTGCTAGTCAAAATACCAATACCACAGGAAACGTTTTTTTTTAAACAATATTTTTAGTGGCCCGAGCGGGCAAGTGGAAAGTACGTTATGCTGGCCCGGGGTGTCTAAATAGTGCTTCCGGGCCAGCGGGCCATTTATAATGTCGAGCCCTGAAATGACTGTTCTCAATACCATCTCTAAAAAAAAAAGTCATGTAAGCCAAAACAAGACATTTCAAAAACTCATTTTGGTCGACAACTACCTTTAAGAGCCTTACGAGTGTCTCTCAGGTTGTCTAACGGAGTCTGAATGCTGTGCAGATTAAAGACTGGAGGATACTAGATGTGCTACCTCTTTAAATTGTCTGAAGAAGCGTATCTTGAAGGCGGCTTCCTCGGCCTGCTGCTCCGCGTTGAGTCTGGTGAACTCTCTGCATCGCTGAGGTTTGATGCTCGTCCCGTTGAACACCTGCTCACCGATGCTGCTGAAGATAACATCCAGGGTGCGGGGCAGAATGCCAGCATCAGCATCTGGACCTAAAGGGAATGTTGTTGCATTGTTTAAAAAGTGCTTTTATCACTATATCTCAGGAAGGAATGACGGTCTGTGTTGTTCCAGAAATGTTTCAAAGGTGGTTAGACCTCAGGGCTGGAGTTGTATTGCCCGATACAGTGTTTCCCACATATCTGAAATATACTTGAGGTGATGGGCTCATGAACTGTTTGCCGGAGCGAAACCCTGCTATAGCTACACAATAAATGAAAGGTATTGCTACACTTGCAAGATTTCATATTTGAGTTGCTTTGGGGAGCATTTTGGACTGTAAATAGTTATTGCAAAAAATCTCATATGCTTAAACAAGGTGGCGATCACAACTTTAGAATTTACTTTCAGCACAGGCAGGGCAGACGTTCAAAGTAAATTAAAATAATTCAGAGTTGTGTCTGCACCAGGTAACGGGGGCACTGTGCCCTCAAACCAAAATGCAGATTTCCCCCCCGTAAAATGTTAAAGTGATGCCAGAAAACAGTTTGTCTGTTTGTCAAAAAATGTATAATTACTCCAACAATATGAAATCTTTTACTGTCCTTTTTTCTGTAGAGGAAGTTCAAACCGTAACTCTGGATTTATTTGTTGTTTGAGGTGCAATATATGACCCGGCAGCTTTAAGACATGAAGACACTATTATTTTCCGCTTCGCTCTAATGCAGAGTTTTCGCCGGAAAGTGGGCGGGACGTAGTTTTGGCCGTGAGTGACGTTAGCGCCCTAATGTTATATTTTCCTAGAAAAAACGTATAGATTCATAATTAAAATATTAGCCTACAGAACAGCTTACAGAGAAGAGAGAACATCAGATCCACTCAGAATTTTATAAAAAGTGAGAATTTTGAAAAGAAAGTAAGAATTATGTAAAAAGTCAGGATTAAAAAAAAAATTTTAGGAAAAAAGTCAGAATTTTCCAAAAAATAAGTCAAGTTTTTTCTAAATAATGAGTTTTTTCTAAATAATTTAGAAATGTATTAAAAGTCCGAAATGTTTAAAAAAACGTCCGAATTTGGAGAATTTTGAAAAACATAGAAGGAAATAAAATGGACAATTGTTTAAGAAGATAATAAGGGCTACTTGTAAAATAAACCTCATAAAGCAGATTCAGGCAGTAGGCGTATAGATTCACACTTTACCTGTTATCCTACAGAACAGCTCACAGAGGACATCTGATCCTTTCCAACAATCACTATATACTCCTTTTAGTTTCATTTAAGATGTTAGAAAGTGGAACGAACCTAAGAATGTGAAGGTCTTGCCGGCGTTGGTGACCCCGTAAGTGAAAACCAGAGAGTTCCCTCCCTCCAGGACGTCTTTCACCAAATCCTTCACTGTTCCCTGGAAGAAGTCTTTCTGTGAAGTCTCAGGACCATAAACCTGGGGAAGGGAGTATTCATTCAAAACATCATTTTAGGGTGTCTCGAACTTCCAGCCCATTAGACCAGTGCTTCTCAAACTTTTTCATACCAAGGACCACTTAAAAAAAAACACAAAACAAACCGTAACTGGATTTATTTGTAGTTTGAGGTGCAATATATGACCCCGCAGCTTTAACGGCCCGTCCACACAGCGGCGTGCGTTGAAAGCTTCACCATTCACTGTGAATGGGGTGATGTCACTTTTTGCCAAACTGCATTGTGGGAAGCGACGCGGAGCTTTGCTGGCGTGGCTCGCAGCAAAAATTGAGCAATGTTCAACTTTTGACGCCTCGGCAGAAGCGTCAGCCAATCGAATCATATGCCAGTACAAGCTCTATCCAATCAAACCGCTGCTTGTGTGTCAGGGGCGGGAGATTCATGCGATTGGTTGTTGGTCGAGTTTCAGACACGCCCGCCGGCGAGCTTCAACGCACGCCGCTGTGTGGACGGGCCGTTAGACATGAAGACACTATTATATTCCGCTTCGCTCTAATGCAGTATTTTCACCGGAAAGTGGGCGGGGCCGTACTTTTGGCCTTAAATGATATTAGCGCCCCATACTACCTTTTTTTTACACACACACACACACACACACACACACACACACACACACACACACACACACACACACACCACACACACACACACACACACCACACACACACACACACACACACAACACACACACACCACACACACACACACACACACACACACACACACACACACACACACACACACACACACACACACACACACACACACACACACACACACACACACACACACACACACACACACACACACACACACACACACACACACACCTTAACCTTCTCTATATCGCCTCGTTCACACATTAAATCCACAAGCATTTCCTTCATATGTGATTTAAAATGCTCACAGGTTTTACACCTCTTATGAACTGTAGTCTACATTTATTACGGAGTTTATGTCCGAGCCAACAGACTCTCAGATCCTTGGCTACCGAGAGAAATGCATGAAGTATCCAAAACCTTCGCTGTGGATTCGCTGTAATAAAATACAGGGCCAAGTTTAACACGAATTCAACAGTTAATTATTTACACTGTTCCATTTATTTAGCATTGTTCACGCACTCATTGCCACCTGTACTTGTCAGTTTTAAACAATGTGACAAACACTTTTAATTTATTATTTATATAGTTCAAATGTGAAATGTTACCAATGGACTCACGTGGACCACACTTTGAGAAACACTGTTAGACTAAAATGCATCGTATACACGTGACGATCAAAAGGAATACATTTTGAAGTACAGTAAGCTAATATTGTCTACTACACTTTCTTATCTGCCAGGAAACACAGACCTGGGAGAACTGGAAGCGTTGTCCAGTTTGAGGAAGAGATTTGTCCGAACTATGCCTCCCTGAAAGGGACAGTTTCGGAGGCTTCAGTAAAGCTGTGTCCGGGGGCTCAATAGTCACACAGTCCTGTTAGAAACAAAAAAGAGGGAGAAAGACAGAAGAAAAAGGAAATCCGTTTACCGTGAACATTCTGCCTGCTATCCTTCAGATGTATTCAAATGCAGCAGCAGCTTCTTATGTACATTTCCCAAAGACATTGAAGTGACTTATTTTGTTATATTTGTAAGGGAAGCTTCTGCAGCAATGGAGAGTCAGGACTCAGAGAGACACGAGGAGAGCTGGAGCTTTGATGTCAAACACTGGACGTTTATTGCAAGGATACGGCCGGAGAAATTCACATCACAAATCACACAGTCAAAGGTTCTGCCTAGGGATGCATACCGGTATCACCGAAATACCGGTTACTGGTGGCTACGGTATACCGTACCGAAATCAGATCCGGTTTCGATACTTTAAAAAAAAAAAAAAAATTTTTTAAATTAATTGTAAAAGTGAGTCCGTGGCCCGTGATGGCGGGTGTTATAAATTAGATTGCATAATTGTTTTTCTTCATATTATATGTATTTTTTAGGGATGCACGATATTGGTTTTTTGAAACCGATACCGATAACTTCCTGCTTCTCAAGACCGATACCGATAACCGATAATAATATAATATATATATATATTAAATGTTCCTGTAGTTTTTGCACACCTGGTGGTAAAACAAAGACTAGTAGTGAGCAAATGACATGAGCATTACTACTATGAACAAAACAAAGCCAAGAACAGTTTTGACTCTCGTCAAGCGCCATCATTTCTATGATGAAGTTAGAGATCGTTTTAGCCCTGGGGTCGTCTCTGGCAAACTTCTTGCCTTTTTCAAAAGCCTCGTCGATAGGTAAAAGCCCCGGTGCCTTTGCAGCTGGCTTTGGATTCGCCGCTAGTTTAGCAGCGCAGGCGTCTTCGTACGCTTTTAACACACCATTGTAGCGATGGCGATGTTTCAGGTGACTAATCAGGTTGGAAGTATTATAGCTTGTTGCCTTTTTCCCTCCTCGTGGAACTTCTGCATTTGTTAATACAAATAGCAAGCGAACTATCTAACTCTGAAGCTTTGAAATAGTCCCATACTACCGGCGACATGTTTGTTTACTGTCCTGGCTTCACGGCCGCACACCATTTACGTCACAGCCAGGCATGAGTTAGGGAGCGCTGGATTTGTGAAGAACTCCCCTCTTCCTAAACCACTAATACCACAGTACTGGCAAAACGGGAGGAGCCGGGTGAAAAACAAGCGCCCCTCATCCCAATCCACCCACACCGCAGTATTTTTTTCTTTTTTTTTTACCCAAAAAATATATTGTATATTATCGGGGCTATTAATACTGGTATCGGGTTTATCGGGATGACGTCATAATTCCTAATATCGGACCGATAATTATCGGACCGATAATTATCGTGCATCCCTAGTATTTGTCATTGTTTGTTCAATACTAGAAAGGTAAAAGTCCCACAAATGAACTGATTGTTTTCTCTCACCAGTGAAGGCAAATGTTGATTTTAAAGATGAGATTTGTTGTGATCTCATGACCTTTATTCTATTATGTATTTGTTCTCTAGTCGAATCTCAGGTTTAACATTAATTGTAACGGTGCTATAACGGTCTGTTTGCATTGACAAGATGTGCTATTCACGCGGCACACCTGATGTGCTATAAAAGATATTCCATAATCGGTTTTCTTCATATTTTTCATTGTTTGTTCAGAACTAAAAGGTCCAAGAAGTCCCACAATTGAATTTAATATTCATTTGACATGTTAACTGTATCGTAAAGCGCTTCATGGGAGTAATTGTGGGATGATACATTTTCAAAGTATCACGATATGTATCGGTATCGTTCAGTGGTATCGGTATCGTAAAAAAGTAAACGATATGCATCCCTAGTTCTGACTGCACGGGTGGGTTGCCATGTCAAATCTGAATAACCTCTCTCTCGATAGACCCTTTAACTAGTTTACAGAGAGTCAAATCCACATATTGGGGATGGGCGTAAACATCTGCAGACACAGGAGATGTCTCTCACATCTGTGGAGCTTAGAAAGCCAGCGTTCTCACGGTCGTAAAACCCCCTATGTCCGCTAGGTCAAGCCATAAAACGTATAGTATCAACATACGACTGCATTAACACAACTCCTTACGGAAGATAAGGAGCAGGGCTGATCGTAAATGTCAACACACAGAAAATGTTTAAATATTTAGAAGTAAAGACAGAATTATTCTCTAACAATATTGATTTTGTGCTTTTATTTATGTCTTAATGTGTGCATATGTATGCGTTGATTGTGTAGGATATATATTTGTATGTTGTATTCCTCTGGATTGTGGGAACCGGTATTCCGATCCCTCCGTCTGGACAAACTGAAAGACTGACAATAAAGTTGACTTTGACTTCTTGCGTGTAAAGTAGGGATGGGTATCGTTAAGGTTTTAACGGTATTACTACTTTTATCGATACCGCTTATCGGTCCGGTCTTTTAACGGTACTCTTATCGGTTCTTTTGGAGAGAAAAGGTAAACTAACTAAACAAATTGTGAACAAAACTAACATTGCTTTTTATTTAAATTAAATACATAATATTTCACATCAAAATAAACAACAATGTTTTAACAAATCGTATTAAATAATCTGATAGATAACAGAATAGCTGAAACTTTAACAAACTAAATACCTCAGTTTCCTCTAATCATTAACCCATGTTTGTATAATGTGAGTTAACTCCGTGTGTTGCTGCTAGCATACAGAACACCTGACGTGGAAACGTTACACGTGGACGGAGCTACAGAGCTGCTAGAAAGACAGTCGAACCCGGTGCATTCCTCCGTCTGCATGTGGAGCACTTTTGATAAATGTTCAGACAAACTGCTCGTGTTACCGCCCTTACATGCTGAACTCTGCACTTTAGGCAACGAGCATCGAGACGGGTAATGTTTAACCACCTCGGAGCGCGTTCTCTCCGCCATCTCCTCCGTGTGTGTAGCAGCTGCCTGTGTGTAAACTGCCCCGCCCCCTCGCAAGCAGGCGGGAGAGAGATCGAAAATACTAAAAATAATCATGGACGCATTTTGCAGTCTTTTTGCGTATTAGAAACGGAGTTGGCGAAACTAAAACTGCAATATAATGTGTGTGTAGCAATAATACACATGACATATTTTGTAGTCTCCAGTACCGATAAAAAGACCGGTAACGTCGGAGCTTAGCGGAACCACGGTCTTTAATAATTCAGCCCCGGGGCCCGTTCCATTCGGTACCCATCCCTACTGTAAAGTATTTGTGTTTACCTGAGACTCTCCATTGTGGCTCTCTGCTGCGCTGAAGGGTCGGATGCGGAGGTAAACCTTCAGGTGTTCCTGCTCGTCGGCGCTGGAAAGCTGCACAACACATCAGGATGTAATCACAGCGAGAGGACACTGAAATGCTCTAGATTCAAGATGGGAGGCTTTATCGTCATGTGCACAGCAGCTACAGTGTAGATAAAAGCTCCAACAGAACAACACCAATATATCAAAGGAAATGGAACAAATAAAAGTTAACAATATTTAAACGATATATACCAATATGAACAGGAGGTCCTTGCTGTAATTGTTCAAATATTTATTGGACATTTAATGTGGAAGATTATGGAGAAAATCCATCATCCAGCGCAAAAATATATTAGAGTTGATATGAGGTGTCGGCACTCTGGGTCAAACAAATCAAGTTCTTATCTTTAAAATCCCTCTTTTCTCGTTATTCTTCCACTGCTGCTCAGAAACACAAACACTGCTAAATACCTGATGGATTACACTTGGATAGAGCCGCATATTAGCTCCTATGACACGAATGTATTCATAATTTCTGGCAATACTAGATTAGATTATTTCCTCCTTTCATCAGTGAAACTCGAAAGGGATTTTAGATATCCAGGACCCAGGAGTTCAAAGCTTTTAATCTCAATCTGATCCGATCAGATTTTGAAATCTCATTTGTCGTGATCCAGGATCAGACAAGTCGGCCAGATGTTGTCCCTGGAGTTCAAAGCAATTCAGGATAGGATCACGACTTTTCAAGATGACTAGATCCTGAATATCAGTGCGTTAATCCCACCGAGCGCCATCTAGTGGACATGAGAAATACTACAAGGAAGACAAGAGGCCACATTGCAGAGACATCTATTGTCCGCAATTACGTTTGAAAGGTGATGACAGATGATGGACTTTTTTTTTGTTGAAGATATTTTTTCTTTAATCTAAATTACATTTGTGATTGACAATCTTTGTTGTGATACTTTTATGAGCATAAACATTTATGTCATCAACATTTGGTTGAAAACAAAACAGGCCACAAACGTGACCAAAAATGAAAAATAAAATGTATTTCCCATGAAGGCTAAACATTGTGTATTATTTCAGTTAACAAACTTTGCCATCTAATTTATATTGAAACATATTTTATATTATTATATTATAATAAATGGTACAGTACATGTTGCTCTGGTAATCCTCTGGAAACCCACCCCTCTGGTGGGATCAGGATAATCCAGTTTTTTGGGATCAAACTGATCCCAATCCCTGTGTTGTCGGTTTGAACCCGTTTTGAAGATTTGATCCAGATTAAAGCTTGGATTGGATTTCCTGATCTGATATCAAAGTGATCCTAATCCTGTTCTTTGGTTTTGAACTCCCCAAAATCCAAATCTGATCTGATCTGACAGGGATTAAATAAATAAAATATTATTATTATTAAAAGTGTTGAACTCCTGGGCCCTGGAGATATATTCATCCCGTTCAAAGTGGATCAGACATAAAGGAGGTGTGTGCGTACTCCTGTAAAACCACCACTGATATTGAAGCATATAATAATATAATAAACACATTTTGACCCTAATAATGAAAAGTGACATCACTATCACCATTATGGCAGAAGTATGTATGGTTTACCTGTGGGTAAGTTAATGTGGCGAACTCTGATACGAGATCTCTCCTCAAGTCTTCCACCACCACATGGTCCCGTCGCTCAGCCTTAGTGTTCAGGCACGATTCCATCATTCTGCAGCACAAAGATCAGGAGTAAACAAAAGCACCATCAAGGTTTCAAGTATTTTATTAGTCATACGTACATAGCTGCAGTGTAGCTATGACGATGCAAACTTAGGTCACAGGCTCCTCCGACAACAACAGCTGTCAAAGACAACATGAAGGGAGTAACGTTAAGTCTGGCCGACTGAGCGAGTTAAAGTACGGTTAGCTTCACATCAACAACTATTTTAACTCATGTCACGCCCTTCAAACATTCGTATGGCACTGGATATCATCACGTTTACAAATGGTGATGGGAACTTGGCGTAGCGATTATCGTTAAGCAACTCTTAAAGCAGGGGTGGTGGAAGAACTCAGATCTTATACTTACAATTCAATCAATCTAAATGTTGTTACTTATTATTGCAGGGCTCGACATTAAGGACTGCCCGATGGCCCGGGGCCATCTAGTATTTAGCTCGGGCAATGAAGCCTCACCTGCTGGTTGCCCGATCGGGCAATCTATTGTGCCAGTATCATGCAGCTCGCGGATCAGTAATGAGAGACCCGACTGTAAAACTAAACTTATCTATAACTAGTTTAGGTAGTTTGAGAGGTAATTAAAATAGCTACGTGTGATATTCTATCCTGAAGTGTGTTTTGTCCGCTCACCGCTGCATGTGATTATGCAGAGCTGCGTGTCGACTCGTCAGCAGCAGCTGATCTCTCTCTCCCGTCAGATTAGACTTCACTCGCGTTTATGTCCATATCGATCAGATCCCAGCTAGTTCTAGCTAATGATATGACTACCTGCTTATTAAAAGACACCTAAACAATAAGTGTCGCTATTAACCGGGATGAGGCCAGCAAAGTATAGCGCAGCATTATGCATTTGTTTACATGCCCACCGGAACCCCGAGGCATTACCAACAGATCAACGCACAATCAACCCATCCAGGACATCTCTTTCTCCACATTAAGTGTTAGACATTAGAATTGACTATTCTCGTCTGTCACATACTCTTCTTGTCTGTCACATACTCTTCTTGTCTGTCACATACTCTTCTTGTCTGTCACATACTCTTCTTGTCTGTCACATAAGTGGCGCAACTGAAGCGGTATTGCGCTAAAGGGAAATTATTTTGACCGGACATTTTGACCGAAGAGATTTAGATTTGCCGGCTAACGGGAACTCTGACGTCGCCATTTTGTGTGCTTGGCGGATGCGCTCGGCTCCTCTCGACTGCTGCTCGGGTCTGCTCGGTCAGCTTCCGGATGAGGAGGCATTCGTTGGACCAACTTACAGTAGATAACATTACAAACATTTTTAACAGGGGTCATAATAGTGTAAATAATGTTTGTTTTGGCAGTTATAACTGAATGTAATGTTTTCTACTTTTTTACATCTGGGAAGGCATTTGCCTTCATCAGATGGAAAGTGTCTTGACCAACAACTTAAGTATTTCTTATAGCTATGCAGGGCATGAAGCGAGCAAACACAAACAAGAACAAACAAACAAGTGAAATTAAAAATAAAATTGAAATTGTACAATATAATATTGTGGTGGTTCATCTTATAATTCAGTCTAGAGAACCAGACAGCATCTAAGACCTGCAACAATCTAAATTTTCTAGGGGGACGGAGGCCCCCCAAACCCTTCGTGCGTCATTTAGTCCGAGCGCATTTTTCAGGGCAATCTCTATTGGGCTCAGGGCCATCTGTAAATTAGCTTAGATGGCCCACAGGGCCATCTCCCAAAATCCTTAATGTCATGCACTGTATTGTAAAGCCATTTTGAGTCTATGAAAAGCGCAATAGAAATACAATGTTGTATTATTATCATTATAAGTAAAAGTACAACAGTATAGGCATCAACATATACTTTAAGTATCAAATCTAAAAGATCTCATTATCCAAAGTCGCCATTTTCGGTTAAAGTTCAGTTTTTATTTTCTATTTCGAGATGTTTTATATATTATGTTTGTTTATGTTGTACTTTTTTTCATTTTCACATTGTGTGCAATGTCTCGTCTGCATGCAGCTGGGACGAAAACACTTCCCTTTCATAAAGTATATCTTCTCTTAAAGGTGGGGAAGGTCATTTTGGAGAAACCAGCTCGAGTGGCTAGAATCTGAAAATACACAGACGGAAAAATGTGCCACTTCCTCACAGAGCCCCTCCTCCAACACACACGAACACGCACATGACCAATGAGGGCAGAGATCAGTGTGTGCCCCGATGGAAGGCTGACAGGCAGGTAGGCCATCCAGTTACTTTAGCCGGCTCAGATGATTGGTCGAGCTTTTTACAGTACTACGGCTTCAACTGATGATGTTTGTTATGGATTTATTGTCAAAGCACTTCAGATATTCATTGCTATCGGGATGTTCAGACAGGGTTTCCCACACAGACTTTACTTGGGCGGGCCGCCCAGGTATCTCAACGGCCGCCCAGGTATCTCAACGGCCGCCCAGGTATCTCAACGGCCGCCCAGGTATCTCAACGGCCGCCCAGGTATCTCAACGGCCGCCCAGGTATCTCAACGGCCGCCCAGGTATCTCAACGGCCGCCCAGGTATCTCAACGGCCGCCCAGGTATATTTCGCAACCCATTTAGCTTTTTTTCTTTTCATAATTTGTCTTTTTCGTCCGTGACCACGACGCCATCTGCGATCGATTAACTTGTGGACAATGATCCCTCGCTCTACGCCTTCTGTACCTAGTCCCGGACTGGCCATCGGGAAGACCGGGGGGGTTTCCCGATGGCCAGTCCTGTTATGTGGCCTGCCTCACACAGGGAGACTGGCTGTCTACATGATGTGGTCTGCCTCACACAGGGAGACTGGCTGTCTACATGATGTGGTCTGCCTCACACAGGGGGACTGGCTGTCTACATGATGTGGTCTGTCTCACACAGGGTGACTGGCTGTCTACATGATGTGGCCTGCCTCACACAGGGGGACTGGCTGTCTACATGATGTGGCCTGCCTCACACAGGGGGACTGGCTGTCTACATGATGTGGTCTGTCTCACACAGGGTGACTGGCTGTCTACATGATGTGGCCTGCCTCACACAGGGAGACTGGCTGTCTACATGATGTGGTCTGTCTCACACAGGGGGACTGGCTGTCTACATGATGTGGTCTGCCTCACACAGGGAGACTGGCTGTCTACATGATGTGGTCTGCCTCACACAGGGAGACTGGCTGTCTACATGATGTGGTCTGCCTCACACAGGGGGACTGGCTGTCTACATGATGTGGTCTGCCTCACACAGGGTGACTGGCTGTCTACATGATGTGGTCTGTCTCACACAGGGGGACTGGCTGTCTACATGATGTGGTCTGCCTCACACAGGGTGACTGGCTGTCTACATGATGTGGTCTGCCTCACACAGGGAGACTGGCTGTCTACATGATGTGGTCTGCCTCACACAAGGGAGACTGGCTGTCTACATGATGTGGTCTGCCTCACACAGGGAGACTGGCTGTCTACATGATGTGGTCTGCCTCACACAGGGGGACTGGCTGTCTACATGATGTGGTCTGCCTCACACAGGGTGACTGGCTGTCTACATGATGTGGTCTGTCTCACACAGGGGGACTGGCTGTCTACATGATGTGGTCTGCCTCACACAGGGTGACTGGCTGTCTACATGATGTGGTCTGCCTCACACAGGGAGACTGACTGTCTACATGATGTGGTCTGCCTCACAGGGGGACTGGCTGTCTACATGATGTGGTCTGCCTCACACAGGGAGACTGACTGTCTACATGATGTGGTCTGCCTCACAGGGGGACTGGCTGTCTACATGATGTGGTCTACCTCACACAGGGAGACTGACTGTCTACATGATGTGGTCTGCCTCACACAGGGTGACTGGCTGTCTACATGATGTGGTCTGCCTCACACAGGGGGACTGGCTGTCTACATGATGTGGTCTGCCTCACACAGGGAGACTGACTGTCTACATGATGTGGTCTGCCTCACACAGGGTGACTGGCTGTCTACATGATGTGGTCTGCCTCACACAGGGGGACTGGCTGTCTACATGATGTGGTCTGGCTCACACAGGGGGACTGGCTGTCTACATGATGTGGTCTGCCTCACAGGGGGACTGGCTGTCTACATTATGTGGTCTACCTCACAGGGGGACTGGCTGTCTACATGATGTGGTCTGCCTCACACAGGGAGACTGGCTGTCCACATGATGTGGTCTGCCGACATGGCCACTGTCATACAGATCATAAATCAAAGCCCTTGATTGGTCTCTGTGTGTGATTCAAGCTCGGGATAACCTCAGCTCAGGGAAAGGACTCTGAGGGTTTAGATAGTTAACTTAGTCTAAGTTCTCAGTGGGTCTCAAACGGTTTGGTCACCATTTATGTCAACACATATTTCCATTTGAGGGGGTGGGGATTAGTCAAATATGCATGAATACAAAATAAAAAAGTTAACTAGGGGGAAAAAGGTAAGATACACTTTTAAAACTTGTTGAGAGCTAAAACTAGTCTTTGCTGCTGCCTCAAAGAGGAGCAGGGGGAGAGGGGGGAGACAGGTGAGGGGGGAGACAGAGAGGAGGGAGACAGGAGTGAGAGAGAGGAGGGAGACAGGAGAGGAGGGAGACAGGAGAGGAGGGAGACAGGAGAGGAGGGTTCAGGAGAGGAGGGAGACAGGAGAGGAGGGAGACAGGAGAGGGGGGAGACAGGAGAGGAGGGAGACAGGAGAGGAGGGGACAGGAGAGGAGGGTTCAGGAGAGGGGGGGACAGGAGAGGAGGGTTCAGGAGAGGGGGGAGACAGGAGAGGGGGGAGACAGGAGAGGGGGGAGACAGGAGAGGAGGGAGACAGGAGAGGAGGGTTCAGGAGAGGAGGGAGACAGGAGAGGAGGGAGACAGGAGAGGAGGAGACAGGAGAGGGGGGAACAGGAGAGGGGGGAGACAGGAGAGGAGGGAGACAGGAGAGGAGGGAGACAGGAGAGGAGGGTTCAGGAGAGGAGGGAGACAGGAGAGGGGGAGACAGGAGAGGAGGGTTCAGGAGAGGAGGGAGACAGGAGAGGGGGGAGAGGGGGGGGTTCAGGAGAGGAGGGAGACAGGAGAGGAGGGAGACAGGAGAGGAGGGTTCAGGAGAGGAGGGAGACAGGAGAGGAGGGAGACAGGAGAGGAGGGAGACAGGAGAGGGGGGAGACAGGAGAGGAGGGAGACAGGAGAGGAGGGAGACAGGAGAGGAGGGTTCAGGAGAGGAGGGAGACAGGAGAGGAGGGAGACAGGGAGAGGAGGGTTCAGGGAGGAGGACAGGAGAGGGGGGTTACAGGAGAGGAGGGAGACAGGGAGAGGAGGGTACAGGAGAGGAGGGAGACAGGAGAGGAGGGAGACAGGAGAGGGGGAGGAGAGGAGTGTTCAGGAGAGGAGGGAGACAGGAGAGGAGGGTTCAGGAGAGGAGGGAGACAGGAGAGGAGGGAGACAGGAGAGGAGGGAGACAGGAGAGGGAGGGTTCAGGAGAGGAGGGAGACAGGAGAGGGGGGAGACAGGAGAGGAGGGTTCAGGAGAGGAGGGAGACAGGAGAGGGGGGAGACAGGAGAGGAGGGTTCAGGAGCACAGACACACTCAACTATAAATGAACCAAAAATAATGAAATAAACAAGTTTCAGTGTTTTTTCATCTTGGAAATGGGATGTTATTGGTTATGGCCATGATTTTATGATTATTGAAATGTATACAGTTGTGTTTCATAGGTGTTCCCATGTGTTAGGAGCCATTACGGACAGTGCCTGGAGAGACGTGTAGGTAAAGGTGTCTTGCTCAGGGACACCTGGGTAGCACTTGGTCTTTCTAGGAATTGAACTGGTGACCTTTCAGTTCCCAAACCAAGTCCTTATTTAGTAACTTACGGAAACTGTCTTGAATCAGCTTGGTTAACAACGGTTGGTTATTATTTTGGATGAATCAGAAAGGTATCTGTGTCTATGTTACAGTACATGTATTAAACGGGGTTTCTGTAGAGTGGGTGTTCAGTGTTTTTCCCTTTGAGGTTGTATATTGTTTTATGTGCCATGTGATACAAAGGATAAACCACAGAAAATGTTACAGTAACCAAATTAGGACACGTGGTTATTGAATTGTTCTATTAGTCTAATGCATCGAAGAGAGATGTAATAATAATATATAATAAGAAGCTCTATTTGTATAGCACCTTGTATACAAGACATGCAGTCTAAGTGCTTCACAGTAGACATCTCTTAAAATACTTAGAGAAAGTTGGTATCACAGAAAACAGTTAGCGGTAAAAGAGAAAAAAGAGTTTAGAGCAGACAATGCAAAACATAGATTAGAAGTTACGACAATAAAAAAAGTGCATTATAAGGAGGACAGTACAAATTCACATCGAGATAACACGTGGAATCTAAGAAAAAATCCGGTTAAACGTTTCTGAATAGAAGTTAATTAGACTCGTTTTGGGTAGTTTTGTTCTGGGTAGAGCTAACAAACAAGCTAGCTGGTTAGCTTGTTGGTTAGCACCTGTCAACTGATAAAAGTGACAAACAAATGTCCGTTTTCTTTCACAAACAAAGCTAAAAGATCAAATGTCACCTGGGACAACATTCAACACTCACCTGGCTGTTGTATTTGGGACATTAGGTTCGTTTAAAGATAATTATTCCGTGTGTTTTCGCTAACTTCATACAACAACAAGACGCGGTCCAAATTTCAAACGGACCAATCAGATGAAATGAGGATTTGCGCATGCTTCGTTCAGGTGTTCTTGTTCTTTGGTTTTAGCTGAGGACTGTAAACCGAACGTTGAAGGAGCTCGTCGCCCCCTGCTGTACAGACTGAGTAACACAATTACTTCATGAAAACGTTCTCAAAATGGTTCATGGACTTTATATAATACATGCAGTGCTTGAATTGGAATAAAAAAGATGCCAGTACTCTAAATCAGCAACTGTTTCAAGTCAATTTGATTTATACAGCCCAAAAACAATAATTTGGCTCAAAGGTCTTTACAATACAACATACGACTCCCTATATCCTTATCCTCATATCTTTGATTCAATAATTAAAAAGAAACTCAAAAAAGCTTTAACAAACAAGGGAACGTTTTTTTTAACACCGAATATTTACTGTAACGTTCAGAAATTGCATGTTTTTCCACGACTAATCAGGGAGGTGTCCGGGGCTCTCATAGAGAACATGATGTAGTCTACACATGTGCCTGCATCAGGCCATATAGTCAGGGCTGCACATAACTGGTGCGCAGGTGCGCATGCGCACCTCCGCCAAAAAAAGAGCACCGGGTCATTTGAAACAAAGCGCATTTGCGTACCAACATTGAGAGAGGGAGAGAGGGAGAGAGAGAAGGGAGAAGAGAAAATAGAGGAGAGAGAGAGAAAGAAAGATATTTGCGAGTTGCATATGAACCATGATATGAACTCAGGGCCGGCCCGTAGCGCTGGCTAGATGTTCGCCTTGGGCGCCAGATCTGGGGAGTCGCTGCGCTGGCAGTTCTGGGAGGGAAAAAAACATTTTGACCGTTGGTGCTCATCCTAATTTTCGGCCTTGATGTAACAATATTCATAATTAAGTAAATGTAACACCCTTTTCACCCCGGTTACACGTTTCATTTGCCCTGTACGATGGCCGCTGTAAGTGATGAAAATGGGGGATGTTGGCTTATCTGGCGTCCGCAGCTCACAGCCAAAATGCGAGGGTGCACCGGTACCAGCGCTGTTGTTATTAGAATCTGGTGCCGTGCTAGCTGCTCTAACGGATATAAGAAGAAGATGTTTCTACAATAATGTGGAGGGAGAGTCCTCTCCAGTCAGACTGAGAGGCTGATACTACAGCTCAGTGAGATAAGGACTCTTAGTCTAAGTTCAAACGGTTTAGTCACAATTTATGTAAACACATATTTCCAAGGCACTCCTTTATAATTATTGGGATAAACAGGTTTGAAATCATTCCAATGTATACTATAGGACAGTAACCAAAAATATCCTTTAAAACTGGAGAGCTAAAAAAAATGCATAAATAAATAAATGTTAAGGTAAAATAAGATATGAATGAACAACACAAATAAAATAAGTTACATTCATTTGTTATTGGCTATGGTAGGTTATTGGTTATGGTCACATACTTTTTTGATTACATCCACTTGTCTAAGATGACAACAGAGACTTTCGACCCAAACCCAGCTGTTGACTTGTGGATGCAAGCATCTAATCGCAGACTCAACCAGAGAGGAAGAAGTAGGCCTACATCATCAGCTACCATGTCTGACAGAGAGGAAGACAGTGAGGAGAACAGTCAGGAGGGAAGTGATGACAGCTTGTAGGATTACTGGTCGTGCTAATGTTGTCTTGTGTTCACCTCTGCATGTGTGTTCTGTGTTCACCTCTGCATGTGTGTTCAGTGCCGTGTGTCTGGCAAATAAAGTCAAGACCCCCTCAAAGGTTACGGTTTATTTCATTTTAAGGATGAGCACCAAGCAACATCTCCAGGTGCTCCTTTGAGAACCAGGGCAAAAAAGTTATGTGCACCCCTGACTATAGTATCCTATAATGCTGGTGGGTTTGTCTCTTTACTGTATATTTTAGAAAGGCTCACTTTACTTAAAAAAAAGTATGAAAGGCAGCGGATATGGCTAAAGCCTGACTCCTACTGGCGGCTGGTTAAATGATTCCTCGTCCCTGAGTACACTCATGCATCTTTCAGCAGGAAAGGAGAGAGGGAATCAATGGAGCTGCCAGGGAGGACACAGAGGAATAAACGCAACAAATATGCGTACCTAGATGCGTCATGAGGTGTACGCAGTAAGAAGTAACGGTACGCAGATGGGTAAAAATCAGAAGTCCCAGTACTGCGTACCGGTGAGTACTGGCCCAATTCAAGCACTGAATACATGTATATAATGACAACGGAAGAGGATTAGGGACACATGAGATAACAAATCTGAATTAAAAAATAAATAGAAAATTAGAATCCTGAATTATTTTCAGAATACTGAGATTAAAGTAAGAAATCTGTTTAAAAATGTTAACCCTGTGAACAACACATGTTTTCCCATCCATCTGTTTTCTTATGCTTACTGGGACTGGGTGGCAATGGGCTATCCTAATGCTCAATGACAAATCTAGAGCATAGAATAGAATGGGCTTGTTTGAGACGAGCTGCGGCTCGCCTCGAAAGTAGACGAATAGCCGATCGCAGCCGGGGGAGGTCTCAAAAAGCTCGCCTGAAGTCGGACAGCTCGGAGTCGGCTCCTTCATCTTCTTCTTCTTCTCTCGGTTTTTTGGGGGATTGCAAACAGCTTGAAGGTGCATACTGCCGCCTCCGGAGTCGGCTTGACTCGGTTTGCATTTATAAAGAATGCACAAATGTGTTTAATCGTTAATGTCAGATATGTACTAAGCAGTGGCGGTTCTAGAACATTTTACATGGGGGGGCAAAGGGGGGGCAAGAGGTCATGCCAGGGTGGCATAGGAGGGCGGACAGTACGTGGTATTTTACACTGTATATAACCTATTTATTGTTAATTCATGCCCTAACACAAGTGTTCTTAATGCACAAGAGAAACAAGGTGTTCAGACAAACAATCGGGTGCCCTTTGAGTCCCCCAAGCTTACTTCAATAATTTTAAATGAAAGGAAACTACAAAATGTATTTTAAAGCAATGAATTAATGGAACAGGTTGTTTTGCATTACAATGTAAAATTAAATATATATTTTGTTTTAGACAGACACAAAAATTGGTTGTCTTAGACAGACATATTTGCATGTCCTCACTAAGCATTATTACATATTAATTTAATATTAAACAAATCAAAATGGCCAATTATCCCAACATGTTGCTGCTAATATAATCATATGCTTGTCAACTTTAACTGATCAAAAATCAATTCTGAAAAAATACTTGAATTATCTATGAAATTGCAATATTGTCCCTCAGTTTGTTTCAACCCCGTCACGCCATACCATTTACCCTCCTATTAAAATGATGGATCAGTCCATGTGTGGATCAGTCCGTGTGTGGATCAGTCCGTGTGTGGATCAGTCCGTGTGTGGATCAGTCCATGTGTGGATCAGTCCGTGTGTGGATCAGTCCGTGTGTGGATCAGTCCATGTGTGGATCAGTCCGTGTGTGGATCAGTCCGTGTGTGGATCAGTCCATGTGTGGATCAGTCCGTGTGTGAATCAGTCCGTGTGTGAATCAGTCCATGTGTGGATCAGTCCGTGTGTGAATCAGTCCATGTGTGAATCAGTCCATGTGTGGATCAGTCCGTGTGTGGATCAGTCCATGTGTGGATCAGTCCATGTGTGAATCAGTCCATGTGTGGATCAGTCCGTGTGTGGATCAGTCCATGTGTGGATCAGTCCGTGTGTGGATCAGTCCATGTGTGGATCAGTCCGTGTGTGGATCAGTCCGTGTGTGGATCAGTCCATGTGTGGATCAGTCCATGTGTGGATCAGTCCATGTGTGGATCAGTCCATGTGTGGATCAGTCCGTGTGTGGATCAGTCCATGTGTGGATCAGTCCGTGTGTGGATCAGTCCGTGTGTGGATCAGTCCGTGTGTGGATCAGTCCATGTGTGATCTGCATTGAGGGAATTACATCACAAAAGTGTCAGTTTCTTCTCTTACCTATATTTCAGTTTTTTGTATTTTCAGATTAAGATTGACAAGCTCAACATTTCAACTCTGTTATATGAATTAATAATAGTAAATAATTGTTTATTACAAAATAAACAATAGTTTTGCAAAATATTACAATGTTGTAATGTCCTTGACTTCCATGTGGTGCCATATCTTAGCTAAACAAGGTCTCATGCCTACTTTTTGTCAAAAACTTCAACCCTGTTACATTTTTTCAAGGAAATTCCTAGTAATTATTTATATGTTGTGCCTGAGGTGGGAACATGTAAGTAGTCCACTACCAGATGTTATGACCAAACATTTTGGTTTCATTTTTCAAAGATATAAAGACCCAAAAGGCACCCTGATTCAGAGAATACTCAGAATTCTGCATACTGTAAGTACTTAATTATAATTAAGTACACAAATGACATCACCCATCTCTTCAGAGAGCTACAGGTGACCTGTGCAGCAACACATTTCAATCAATAATTGTCAATACTAAGAGCTGCTAGATTGAGCTGCTGTAATGGAATATGTAAGGAGAATAAGAACATACCATGTGGTCCAGCTGGAGTCTCCTCTGCCTCCTGATCCCTGCCTCTGGCCCTCTTTCTGATACTTCATCTTTATTCCTCACATATATTTCTTCTTCTTCACTAATGTCTTCATCTCCTCCTCTTCCTCCTGCTCTGACCCTCCTGGTCTCTTCATCTCCTCCTCTTCCTCCTGCTCTCTTCATCTCTCTTTTCCTTTTCCTCTTTCTGTTCTCATATGTCTTTTTGTTGTTGTTGAATCACTCCTATACTCTGGCCTGCAAGAGTCTACTTGTGAAAAGCACTGGTACAAATGCTTGTATCACTTTACACGTTAGGGCCATGTAGCCTAGCTAATATGTAGCATAACATCAGAAAGTATTGATCAAGCGCACACAGGCAGCTGTGTTTGGATCCAGTTTTTACGGTAAAGGATGTATCCAGGTTTCATTGATCTGGCCTCATGGCTGTGATGTGTAGTTTACGTGGATTTAATAGTAGGCTACCGCGTAGTTTAGCAAAGTGATCGATCTCCCAGCTAACGCTGTCTGCGTAGTATTTTGTAACGTAACG